CTCTTAAATATTTCAAAAATCGAGTTTATAATGGAAGAACACTGCAATAGAAATCTATTCCATTTGTGAAGACGGCCTTAGTCATTTGTGAGTAATGAGGTATTTTACATCTATAGAAAATGTGTAAATTTTCCAAAATATATGTGCATTGTCCATATAAATTCATAGAGAATACCAATGTGGAAGGCCAGTTCACCAGGAGAAATTCCCTTCTCTTTCAAATAAACAGAAAATGAGCAGATGATAAAATAGAGGTAAGGATTACATAATCATTTGTTAGGATATTAATTTTATTGTTATATGCAGAGGATAATACATTATGTGTGAAGAATGACAATTTGGCCTAAAAATCACATTAATGCAAGAGAGGTGTTGATCTTGTAAGCTATTTGAACTCATTGTTTCCATTTTAGTATCAAGTTTTCTCATTTTGTATCCTAGCCAAATAAATCCAATTCCTGGTCATTGTATTTATAACCTCACTTGGATGTCACTGAATTTGATAATAATTGTTGCAATATTCCATTTCAATTTAAATGCAGTCTTTCCAGGTTAAAAAAATTGGTACAGGCTAAAAAAAGGACCTAAAATCAGGAATTTCAAGCATTTTAGACCTTGTTGCTTAGATTTTATTATAATATTAATAATCCTTGCATTTGATGTAACAAGTTATCACATTGTTGTAACATCACAAAGCACTTCATGGGTTTTTACTGTATTTGTTTTTACTGTGTATTTGTAGTGAAATACAAATATTGTCCCACAAGCTATCACTTTATCCTAAGACGTTTCTTATAATTCGATTGTAGAGTTTGTGGGTAAAAAAATTATGCGATGAGTGTTGGTCAATAAAGCTATCGCTGTGGAGCTTGTTGGCACTTTCTGACATGATACAAATTAATCTCATTCTCTCATCTATTTTTTTTCTTTCCTATCTTGCTTATTTTTTTCCCCTTTGATCTGTGTCCTTTAACTGTTTTTTTCTCTTTTTTTTACACATTTCTACTTCTTCCCTCAATTAATCTCTTTCAGTTTGCTTTTTTGAAAACAAAAAAAAACATTCCCAGACTTTGCCTTTAGATCACCTTCCTCTGCAATTGAAAAAGCAGCTCTGGAAACTGTGGTATCCTGGGGTGATGGGCACAGCTCCCTCTCTCCAGCTAAAGGAAAGAGGATTCTTTTTGTTGACATAAAACAAACGCAGAACAAAAAATAATGTGCTTGACGACCTTGAATTTGTACCTTTTGTTTGAATTGGCAAATTCAATATCACAGAGTTCACCTCTCTGGAGTATAGTACATTTCACTAAACAAGGTCGGAATCAATTTGCACTGACAGCAGTATATTGCATGTAGCTTTAACTATACTTGTGACATTTAGATATAAAGATAAAATAACATCAAATGTTTTTAGATTCAGCTCAGATGGTGGTTGGGGTAGCACTCCTTCACAAGAGATAATAAAAGAAGTTTGGATGTAGAAAGTCCTTTGGTCCATTTGAGCTCACCCTTTCCAAAATAATAATCCTTGCATTCAATACCCATTTTACCTTCCTCTGTTTCAAGCATCCAACTGTTTCTTAAATTACTGTCCTGTTCCAGTCATTGATTTCCCTCTGAGTGAAGAAACATCTTCTGGTATCTGTCCTGAAATTGTCCTTTGCAACTCTTAACCGTGTCCTCTTGTTCTGCCATCTTGTGTTTCTCAAATAATTGTTCTGGTTTTACTTTCTCAATCACATTTAAAATTTTGTATACCTGTGTAAAGTCACCTGTGAAACGTACTCTTTCAAAAGGACTAAAGAGCCATAGCTTGTCTATTTGTTGCTTATTACTCATTTTTCTAACACTGGAGACTGTCCTCTCCCCTGCATCTAGGGTCTGGGTTAGACAACCCATATGTCGTGACAACCAGAAATGTATGCAGTACTCCAGGTGCGACCTGGCCAGACTATTGTACAGTTTGAACATGAAGTCTCAAGATCTGAACTCCTCATAGCTTAATGGTTAGAGCTCTTGCCTCACAAGCAAGAGGACTTGGGTTTGATTCCCAGACAGGATGAAATATTTGGGCAATTTTCCTTACTCCACATGCCTCTGTTCACTTAGCTATAAGTAGGAACCTGGTTGTTAGTTGATTGGCAGATTGTTTTTCTGGGAATAATAATCTCTTCAAAAAAATAATAATATGAAACAAATAATAATAATAATTTGGTCACTCAATCCATGACTGCCTGTACACAGTTGGCTGCCACATTTTGCCCACAAAATATACAGTCATATACTAAACTTTGCTATATATTCTGTGAAGCACTTTGAGACATCTTGAAGACATGAAAACACGCTATATCAAATGCAAGGATTATTATTACATAGCCCAGCATCCTGTGTGCCCTACTTATTGTTTGGTTAGGGAGGGAGAAACTGACTAGAGTCCTTACTTTTGGTGGCAATTCAGTAATCCCTCTCGAAACACATATTTCGAGGACAGAAATTGGCTCTGCATTATTGCACGGGCTTTGTTTTCATTGATTGACTTTTCCACCACTGTCAACAACAACAACTTGCACTTATATAGCAGGGTAGCATCTCAGAGTGCTTAACAGTGGCTGAGCCTGACTCTGAGTCAGGGTGGGGAGGGGGCAGGTGGCAGTAAGCATGGTTAAAGAAGAAGGTTTTCAGGCAGGACTTAAAATGAGTGCCATGAGGTTTTCAGGTGAGTGCGATGTCCTTAGAAGGCACACTGCTCTCACAAAGACATGGTTGAGACAGACAATTCACCCAGTGAAAAATGGCAATCCACATGCTTATTTTACCCTAATAATAATAATTCTTGCATTTGATACAGCGTCTTATCACGTCTTCTAGACGTCTCAAAGGGCTTCAGGGAATATACTGTAAAGTGAATTGACTGTAAAGTATATTTTGTGGGCGAAACACGGCAGCCAATTGCTCCACAAACAGTGTCCCACAAACAGTCGTGGATTGAGTGACCAAATAATGATTATTATCATTGTATTTTGCAGGAATTATAGCTCCTACTAGCTTTCGTTCCTCTCTGTTGTACCCTCTCAGGCACAATTTCCTCATTCCCTCAGTTCCCTTGCTGATTTATTTTATCTTCTCTTTTTCTGACTGGATCAGCTAACTTTATTTTGCTGCTGATTTTGTCCTCCCACTGTTTCACATCTCTTTGCCATTCGGTTGTATTGTTCCCCTCTTTGTTTCACTGTAGCTACGACCCTTTTGTTCTTTCTCTTGATCTGTTGTTCTGCAGTCAGCACCACTTTAGTTTTGTTCTTGCAGTTGGTGTGGGGTGGGTGTGTGCCTCGGTTAGGCTTTCAACAACAACAACAACTTGGATTTATATAGCGCTCTCCACGCTGGGCGGTGTCTCAGAGCGCTTCACAGTAACGGATCCCGGGACCGAGCCAGGAAGAGGGGGAGGGGGAGGAAGGTGACCAAAGGCAGTTACTCACCTGAACACGAAAGCTATGCGGGACTGTCTGAAAGGATCGCAGGCAGAGAGGCAGCTGACGATGCTTTCAGCGCAAATGTAGGGAATAAGATTTTTGATCCCAGAGAGAGAGAGAGAGAGAGCAGTGTTCATTTATCTGGAAGAATAGGCTTGATCTTGAGTAAGGAATTCTCTCCCCACATTAAAGAGATTCCACAAAACCAAACCCCCCCACCCCCACCCCCCCAAAAAAAAACCACCTTTGCACCTTCTGCATCTAACACAAAATCCAGATGTTCAATCCTTTATTTCTGCCACAGAATGAAACAACTTTTGGAATCCAACTCTAAAGCGTTAAATGATTTAATCCACATTCCTCTCTTCAGGTTTATTTTGGAAGAGCCTTTAAACATGTAAATGGGGAAGGTGTGTCTGACCCACAGAGGTGCTCTGAGGAGGAAATGTACAGCTCCAAAAAGTGTGGAGGGGAAAAGCGTTCAGATGGAAGTTGTGTCCCCGACCACTCCCCCCATCACTCCCCCCCCCCCACTCCCCCCATCACTCCCCCCATCACTCCCCCCCCCCACTCCCCCCATCACTCCCCCCCCCACTCCCCCCATCACTCCCCCCCCCACTCCCCCCATCACTCCCCCCCCCACTCCCCCATCACTCCCCCCCCACTCCCCCATCACTCCCCCCCCCCACTCCCCCCATCACTCCCCCCCCATCACTCCCCCCCCCCACTCCCCCCATCACTCCCCCCCCACTCCCCCCATCACTCCCCCCCCCACTCCCCCCATCACTCCCCCCATACTCCCCCCCCCCCCACTCCCCCCACTCCCCCCCCCACTCCCCCATCACTCCCCCCCCCACTCCCCCCATCACTCCCCCCCCCACTCCCCCCATCCACTCCCCCCCCACTCCCCCCCACTCCCCCCCACTCCCTGCGGAGCTGAGGTTGTTGGTGATTGATTAACCCTCTGGTGTTGGACTCGGGGAGAGCAGCCACTGGCGATGCTCCAAACAGCAGATTGTGTGGGTTTTTCCCGTAAGGTTTTACGTGTTTTAAAACTTTGCGTGTGTTTGTGGGTGAAACAACCCCTCCACCCCCCCTCCCCCCCCCCTCCCCCCCCACACCCCTCACCCCCACACCCCTCCCACCCCTCCCCCCCCCCTCCCCCCCACACCCCCAGCAGCAGCAGCAGTCAGGTCAGGGCAGAGTGGGCTCAGTTGAGTTCGCTTTGGCAGCATTTGTCCAGGAACAAGTGACAGAGACGAGAAGTTGCGCAAACACTTGTGGGAGAGGGAGGAAACTGCTCAGCGCTGAGCTGCGAGGGCCAGACTGGGCTGTGCTGGGCTGAGCTGTGTTGGGCTGTGCTGGGCTGTGCTGTGCTGAGCTGTGCTGGGCTGAGCTGAGTTGGGCTGTGCTGTGCTGAGCTGTGCCTGTGTTGGACTGGGGCTGTGCTGGGCTGAGCTGTGCTGGGCTGAGCTGAGCTGTGCTGAGCTGAGCTGTGAGAGCCGGGGGGGGGGGGGGGATCGAGTCCCCGGGCAGATGATGGAGAGTGGGGGTCAGGGCGATGCTCCTGGTGTGGGAGAGTTCCCCTTGTACACCATCGAGGAGGAGAGATCCAGCCTGATCTCTGTCAGCAGCGCCCGGGATCGCTGCTTGGAAAGCGCCCAGGAACAGGAGGAGGAGGAGGAGGAGGAGGAGGATGGATCAGGTCACTCCTTGCAAAGCAATTCCTCTGGTGAGGAGAAACTCCAGGAAAATGCAACCACAGGAGACAGCAACACATTCGTGGTGGCAGATTGCAATGGTAACACTCATGTTTTTTAATCCCCCCCCACGCACACATACACACACAAACCCTTGGAGTATTTATTTATTTGATTTCCTCCCTGTTTTGAAAGGGTAAACATACCTTTTGTGCAGTGGGAGTATTTTAAGTTTAATGATTTGTGGGAGCAAACCTGTGTGTTTCCAACGATAACTTTGTTTTACCACTTTAAAATGTAATCTTCTTGTTGTTGTTGTTGTTAAAGGTTATTCTTTGAACTGTTAAAATAACATGTTTGGTGGTGGTATAGATTTCCACCTGGGCCAGTGACCAGGCTGACCACGACATCATCAACAGCAAATTACACGAGTATAGCGCCCTTCACGTCGGAAAGACGTCCCGGGGAGCTGGACAGTCGTGGGATTTTCGGACCCGAGCTGGGAGTTGGGGTCAGGGCAGGGGGCGTAACACAAAACAAGTGTCATAGATGCAAACCAATGCGGAGAATGACTGCAGCACTCTCTGGAGTCCCGAAGTCTTGGCTCTTGGCAACCTGCGCCTAATACTTTCCGGAATTAGGTAAACAGGATGTGTCCCTCCGGGGAGAGAAAGCACATCCCGTTGCAACAATCCATCCCTGGAATTTCCGTGCGTGGGTGGGAGGCATGGAGTTCTCTGGTTTGGATAATCATGAATGTGGTAATGGGTTTCCGCATGTGTCAGACACCCAGCTGACCAAATACAAGTATGTACTAATTACCATGTGTTGTATATTTCTCCCCCTCCGCCAACACATGCTCAGCAATAGAATTATGGTTGGTCGTCAAGACTGTAATACGATTGTAATAGAACTTTATAGGATGAGATTATATCCCAAAACGTTGTGATCACTCCAGTTTTGTGTATTTGTATTTATCCTGTAAACATTCCTGTATATATGAACACACATGCTAAGGGTAGGAACTGTTTGGATATAAACATATTTTTATTGGGTGTGTATCAGGCAGACAGACATCTAAAGTGAAAGATAAGGTAAAGATCCACCTGTTATCACATCAAATGGACTCTGCTCTGGATTTGGAGTTAGAAAAACATGGTTGTGGAGTCTTGTAGCTTGGTGGTTAAAACACTTGCCTCACAAGTGACAGGCCCTGAGTTCAATTTCTGGACAGAGTGAATCGTCGGACAAGTTTCCTTACTCCACACACCTTTGTTTACCCAGCAGTAAGTCGGAACCCAGTTTTTAGTTGATTCGTGAATCACTTTTCCGGGGGTAATAATCCATTCAAAGCAAAAATAAATTTTAAAAAATTTGATCACTCAGTCCATGACTATTTGTGGGATGCTGCTGTGCGCAATTAGCTGCCGCGTTTCGCCCACAAAGTATACAGTCAATTCACTTTACAGTGCATTCTGCGATGCACTTTCAGTTGTCTCGAAGATGTGATAAGGCACAATATCAAATGCAAGGATTATTATTATTAAATCAGTCAATCGTTAAGAAGACGAGATCTCAAAGATCTAGTTAAAGCACTTTTATTCAGGCATCATTTACTCTGCATCCAGTTAGTTATGCCATACCTGACAATGGAGGCCCAAACTAGACAGTGTTTTATCTTGGATCAGCACAACAATTCACACAGAAACATTAACTCAGAAGATTCATGTTGAGAAGAAGAGCAGCAGAAAGCTTGTACTGGATGGAAGTGATGAAAGTGGACACCATCATTGTTCCAGTGGAGCAGTGCCAGGATTTCCAAGTCAGCATGGTAAGCTTGTTGGTTTTACTTGTAAAATCAGTACAAACTTTACGAATATATTATTTATACATGGCTTGCACATGTTTAACATGAATGATGCTTCAATTTAAAAAAAACTTTTGATGAAAAATGTAAACCTAACAAACTTTATGTATCACATACTTCACGTCACCATCCTTTTCTTCTTGCTTCTCATCTGTTTCATCTTTCTCAGCAGACGATGAAGATGTTCCCAGGAAAATGATTTGTCCCTGGTCCAGGGAATGTCTCCCCATTCGAGTCAATGGAGTCGCTGCCATGAATCACCTTTATTTACTGAAAGAGGCTTCTGTCTTCACCACCTGTTATTGAAGGACTGCCAACTCTTGCATGGTTTTGCATGGATGGGGGTGGGGGCAGTAGTGGGGGGTGGGGGGCAGAAAGCAGGGTGGTAAAATACACAGTGTTTTGGAGAAACCAATGGTAAACACATTAAAAAACAGTGTGACAATGAGGGAGGGTTGGGTAGAAATAATAACTGAAACACTAATTAAAACTCCACAAGGTCCCCGAGGGATATGGAAAACTGATAGGATTAGAATATGGCAATCATCAGTTTCAGTCTTTGCAAAATTGCTTTATGGAAATACCTTCACTGTCATTGCCCTTTCTCGATTTTGTTCATGCTGGTGATTGAAAAGCTGCACTTCTGGGTTGTCTGGTCAGACAGGAACAAATCTCTCAGGGCTAGGCTGGAGGTAGGAGGAGTAAAAGTAGCTTGGTATTTCTGACGTACTCCTTTGTTGTTTCAGAAACAGCTATACATAGAGAACAATTTATTACTCACAATGCAGGGCTATGAAGTTAATATTGTCTTCATCTGGAGCAGTTTCAAAGTTAGTTCACTGAATTAACTGTTTGCTTCTGGTTGCATAAGTGGCACAAGAAGTGACAGTGAAGGAAAAACAATGCTGAGACCACCAACAACAACATTTTAACAACAAATTATATTTGTATCGCGCCTTTCACATCAGCAGGACTTCCCAAGACATTGAAATTTTACATTAGAATAGCACCTTGAGAGGATGCCTTAAAGTATACTGGTAACTTGTTGTACAATTCTTTACAATTGGGGAAAGATTTGCATTAGGACTAATTGTTTCATGAAAGGAATTTCCAGGATAAGAATCTAACATATGTGAAGAATGCATTGTGGAATTTAATTAAAAACGTCTGACAGTGAGTTACGATCAATACTAAGAGTGAAACAGACATTTTATCTCATTGCAGTATCTCACTTTGCTTTTTTATGTTTGATAAATAATTAAAATTAAATATGGTCAAACCTGTTAAAGCAACTACCTCTATTCAGCAACCACCTGTTATCAACAACCACTCTGGAACAGTCCCAACTAATTTTCCATAATAAACCACCGCTATTCAGCATCCACCTGTTTAACGCAACCAGTGGCCGCTCTTTTTTTTGGCTCTGTCAGTGTACAGAGATTCTTTTCAGTGGCCAGTTCTAAGTCAATTTAAGTGTAATTTAACAGCAACAACTTGCATTCAAAACCTTCTACAGAACAATGCAAATGTAGTCGTCATCCTCTCCTCCTTCCCCTCACCTCGCTCCCCAGAAAGGTGGCTGGCAATTGGTCGGTCAGCCACGTGCGAGTGAGCATGTGTCTAATTGATGGAGGAGGACATTTCTGTTTGCAGTGTGTTTGGAGGCAACATGGCTTGAGCTCCGGGAGATGAGTCTCCTCTTATATTTAGTCTTGTTATATGAATAGTTTGGTTAATTGAATAATTTTCACTGTAAAATTGAGTATTCAATTAACAGAATTCACTGTATTAATATCCTAGAAACGCACAATATATTGCTTAGTTTTCTGGAATGCAATTTAATTGAGTATGACCTCCTTCCTGCCCTCCCTTTATTAACCCTGCCTCTCTCTGTTTACTCATTTGCCTGCTTCTTTAGGAACTGTTCAGTAAAGGGAAATGTGTTTTCATTAACTTAAAGTTTTAAAAGCCTCTGAAGCACATTACAGTTGTTAAACAAAAGTTAAAAAGCTTAGAAAAAGTACAAAAGTCATCCTGCAAATTCCTGTTAGAAGTCGTTTTGTGTTAGTAATGATGTCAGTCCGGATATGCTCTTGTCTCTGATAAGGATGTATTGCACAAATCTCTGCAATCTGCTGTCCTGGCTTCAACACTCTGGCTGAGAGATAGCAGAGGAGACAAAGATAATATTGAAAAGTGTTTATCGAAAATTATTTGCTCAAAATATCAAGTTTGTTTATAAATGTTTGAATATTTGGTAGTTTTAATTTTTTTAGCCCTTGCATTCAGGAACTTTGCTTTTTTAACAGTCAGCATAGCTCAACTATGCCAACTCCGTGCTTGTCGGCCTTCCCAACTCTTCTCTCCACAAGCTGCAGATTATCCAGAGCTTTGCAGCTCTTGTTCTCTCCCACATCAGGCTCCATGACCCCATCACCCCCACCCTCTCTGCCCCCACCCTTTGGAACTCCATCCCATATTCCCTTCGTCTCGCTCCTTCCCTTGCCTCCTTCAAGGCATATCTCAAGACCCTCCTTATCAACCATGCCTATACAAATATAATGTTGTATTGTACTGTATTGGATGCCTTTTCTTATGATATCCCATTGGAATGCATTCAAAACTCTAGAAGTGACAGAGCCATTGCACTATCCGATTCCACAAGCATATTTTTATTTTTACTTCATTTCTCTCTTTTTCGCTGCCTACTGAAAGAACTCCAAGCATCAGTGTTCAAAAGGGTTTAAAAATGAAGAATGTATTGTCTTGCTTTGGGACAGATACACTACAAGAAGATGAATCGTGTATTCAAATAATGATTAGAAGGACCTTTGAAAATCGACGGAAGTTGATTCTTTGAGACTTATTTCATACATATTCTAGTTAAAAGTGGCAAGTTAATAGAACCAGCCCAGTATAGTGAATTCAGATCTCTCAGGCTCAATAAAATTCAATGAAGATGAAAGTTTAATTTAAAAAAAGTACATGCTACAGACTTTTTGTGGTGATTGAAGAGAAGGTTGTAATAATTATAATAAATTCTTGCATTTAATATAGCATCTTATCACATTGTTGTAACGTCTCAAAACATTTCTTAGGATTTTATTATAAGTAAAAAAGGCTGTGCAGGTGAACCAACAATGCACACAGCAATGTCCCAGAAACAGCTATGAGGTGAATTATTAATTTTACTTGGGGCAAAGTAACAATGTCCCACGAGGTACAGCCTCCACATTTACATCAAACGATCGGAGTATTCAAATCTGAATTATCTGATCAATGCTAAAAATAAGATTCTGTTTTTTTAAATAAGCTGGGGTTTTAATTTCTCTCAGAACCTGATGTGTACAACAGACCATTAATAACTTTTCAGAACATTGTGTTATAGAGTTACAATAAAAAGAGAGATGTAAGGTTTGATAAATGTAGTCATGACTGCCTTTAGTAAACAGGAAGTTTAGTATTGAGGCAAAGCAACAGAGTGCATGGATCACATTTCAAGTCAGTCAACAGTTTCTGTCAGAACCAAGATAAGGGGCTCAAGCACTTAGGATACACAGGATGAATGTGTATCCTCTTCCCTGCTTCCAGCTACAGCTGAATATATTGTGAGATGGATGAGTTAAATGCAGATTTAAGTTGGCATTCTAACAGAGTGATCGGCAGATAAAACTGAAGGAAATGTGAGATTTAGAATTGTTTCCATTTTTGAAATGCCTGGAAGTTATGTGACTGAGAAATCTGCAGTCAGGAGCCAATCATTAGGCTGCCTGGAGTCAGGCATATTGACTGGAGCATCCGGTTTGGGATACTGGCAGTGAGATTGTGGATGAATACAGATGCATTAGGGATTGAAACTGCCAAGTACATTACATGTGGGACCCTTAGAGTCAACGTAGAGATGAGAGAGTTATCGTGTTAATCAGCTTGGCTTTTCACTAGAGGCTTTCCACTTTTCACTGAGGAGCCCCAGCAGTAAGTTCTTTAATTTAGTTTGAGGAATGTGTCTGCTGCAGCCTCCCTGTCCACTATTTAATTGTGAGTTACTGATAACTCAATCATTACATGTAACCATTCTGATGTTGTTTGCCAATTATTTTCTGCAGGTAAGGCAGCCTTCTGTTCTTCTGCAAGCTCCCCCATGCATTGGTCCAATTTAACCCAAAACTCTGTGGAGTCAGATGAGAATTCAGAACCTGAAGAGCGAGCAGTTCCAGGTAAACACATAGTGAAAAGCATTCTTTCAAGTAAGAGGTAATGTCGATCTGTAAGCTGATTGAAAACTCAAACCGATTAAAGAGTAGGGTTGTTGTACCAGAGAGAGAATCTCGCCTGGCTTGTAACACAGTGAATTTATTGTTTCCATGTTGTGAGGTAATTTGAATGACTGTACATTCTTTCTGTTTCAATACTTTCTAGTGCGGAGTCCGTCAGAAGAAAATGAAGTGTCTCTTTCTCTCCCTAAACAAATCTTACATGATTCATCAGGCATGGAGAATAGGGAATCAGGTAAGGGATAGGGAATTTCAGCACATCCTGAAAAGTGCCAAAATCTTATCCTTTTGTAAAGTAGCACTCAGGTGTGACAATGTTAATGATGTGAGAAAAATTGCACAGCCAATTCACTGTGCAAAAGCATTGAGTAAAAATCAGCTGGTCAGTAAAGTTACTAACCTTGATGGTCTCTGCTTCTTTTAATGAGATTTTCCTGTGTTTTTCCCACCAAATTTTCTTCTCCATTTTTCTCCCTCTCGTCCCCCTCTCCTAAAAGCATCTGACTCATTTATTCCTTTAGGTTCAGCTAATACATATCCTCATCCGCACCAAACGCTTCACACCCATCTCCCCAATCCTCACCAGGCTGCACTAGTTTACTGTCTCCAAACGCATCGACTTCAAGGTCCTCACCCTGACATACAAATGCGTTCATGACCTAGCACCTCCCTGACCTACTTATAACTCACTCCTCTGCCTGGCCCCTTTGCTCAGCTAATGCAGGCCTGCCCACATCCCTAATCCCCTCCATGCTACCATCAATAGTGAACCTTCAGCTACCATGTCGCTAATCTCTGGTACTCTGTAGTTCAATCCCTGCATCTGTCCCTCTCTTTATTTCTAAATTCCTTCTGAAAACATACCTCTTCCACTGCACCTAATGTCGCCTCCCTACCCCTTTTCCCTTGCTCGGCTTTCAACCCCGCCACTGCACTGAGCTATGAGACGTAATCCTATGTGAAAGATGCTTTAGAATTACAGATTATTGTTATTGTGCTGTGTGTACATTTCCACTGGTGAATACATTTCCTTCTGCTGCCTCACCCAAGTTGTCTTTATTCATGAGTTACAGTGACTGTCAGATGGCAATTAACCACAGAAAGACTTAACAGCCAAGTTCATTCATGTTCTCACTTGACGTTGACCCCTTTGAACCTCTAGCAAAGATCAGTAGATAATGATGAGGAGTGGGACCCAGGCTGATTTTCAGCTCTCTATCCTAAAGACAATGAAGCCAAGTTGAGGGTCCAACCCAAGGAGTCCTGTAGCTCAGTGGTTAAAGAACTTGCCTTGCAAGCGAGACACTTGGGTTCAATTCCAGGCAGGGCGAAACCTTGGGCAAGTTTCCTTACTCCACACGCCTAATCATAATCCCTCAAAAAAATAATAAATTGGTTACTTCAATGAACGACAGTTTGTGAGACACTGCTGTGCGCAATTGGCTGCCGCGTTTCGCCCACAAATATATGGTCAATTTACTTTATAGTCTATTCTGTGAAGCACTTTGAGACGTCGAAAAGATGTGAAAAGCGCTATTTCAAATGCAAGGATTATTATTATATTATAAGGTCAGCATACACTGATTCAAACTGCCAACTTTCTGATCCTGCATAAAATAGTCCTCCACTGGACCCTGAATTTATTTATGAGCCCATTTGATTTCTCTGTTTGTAAACAAGCAATGCTGATGTCAGTAACATTACCAGCCAATTTCACATGCTCCCCCTGTAGGTAAATTGTGGAGAGAATTGCTGGTCATTGTGGAAGGTGACAGTGAAGAAGAGTGTGAGGATGGGGTTAGTGCATAGCAAATCAAAAGTTGTAAATGGAGAGCAGGTAAAGAATAACACTGTAAAATGGTGCAAAGTAACATTCTCAAAGGTAAATTAATGCTTGCAGAGCTAGATCGTCCTGAGAAAGACTCACTCAACAGTTGTTCCACATTATCGCTGGTTGAAAGTGGAGTTCCGACAGGTAGGATTCTCTTGTCTTGCCACTGTTTGTGTTTAAAAACAATATTAGCTTTAATAAGATTTCTAGGTTATATTATGTGTCATGGATATGTGTTTGGGTTCATTATTAAAGAATGATTTGTTTTTTTTAAAGAAAACAAGGTTTTGTGCTCTTTAAATTTAATTTGAACTCTGAGCCACATGTTGGTGAGACAGGGGCTTAGATACACAATTCCCAGCATGTAAAGCTCCCATTGGGCCAATGAGAGAATCAGCACTTCCCCACAGTTAGAACAGGAGGGGAATCTGAGGGTAGGCCAACCCAGTTTGTTCTCTTTTGTGAGCCATTCATCAACTTGGGCAAATTAATAATAATAATAATCCTTGCATTTCATATTGCACCTTATCATGTCTTTGAAAAGTCTCAAAGCCCTTCATAGGATACACTGTAAAGTGTAATGATTGTGCATTTCGTGGGGAAAACAGCAGTGAATTGTGCACAGCATTGTCCCACAAATAGCAGGGAGTAGAAGCCTCGGCATGTCACAAAGGAGACCTAAAGGAGAGAAAGCAAATAAAAATTGTCATGCATTTTCAGGGTAAAATGTGACTAGTACTATAAATATAGACACATTTTAAAGATGTAATGTGGTAACTTATCCATTGAGAAAACATTTAATGCCATTGATTCATTCATAGCTATTTCCCTGAAATTGATCATAAAGAAACAAATCACTCGACTTCCCGATACTCAACTGCAGGAGACGCTCAGAGCAAAACTACGCATTCTGGAGAATGAGAGTGGAGAGGTTGCAGCCCTTCTCAGTGTAAGTCTGCTTGGCTTTTGTTCAAGATGCAGCACTTCCGCAGAATGCTTAAATGTGAAGCATTTTGAGTTATGTCTTTGGAGATGATAAACTGCTACAATTAAAGTACTGTATGCATGTTTTATTCTTTCTATCAATGCTTTGCATCATTGTTACATCCAATATTCTGAAAGTAGAAGCCCAGTCAATTAACTCCAATTTCTGTGAATGTAACATTGTATTTAATGAGAAAGAAGGTGCAGTAATGGTCAGCTGATGAACTGACGATGGGGGAATTAAGTAGAAAGAGGAAACGAACAAACCAGTTTTGGGACAAGTTTCATGTCCTGACCTAGATAACTGTAGCATTCTTTGCAAATGTACTAGAAGACGTGGAGGGCGCTATATAAATCCAAGTTGTTGTTGTACTTTATTATTGAGTACATCTAATATTTTTTTCATTACAAGCTGTTCAATTTGGATGCTTTGACATTTGTAAATAGTTTTCATTGGAAATATCAACAATTGTTGTGCACGTGAGCAGGTAAATTGCTCCAGTACTGATCCACCCATATCCTCTACTTTATTCCCTTGCAGTCAGCTCATCAATGAAAGAATTACCCCATCCCATGGTGCAAAACACTAATAAATGAACACAAACACTCCCTAAATTGTACCACCGATCTTACGTAGCATAAGAAAGGTACTGTGCAGAAATTTGACTCTTGTATGTTGCATAGTGAGAGTTGCTTGGGAATTAGAAACCACACACCAGTGATCCATCCTCATTAATGATGCAATGCTCTGGATGACAATAGAAGTTTAACACCATGGTAATGACATCCTAAATTCACTATTTGATTACCTGATTTGATTACATTGATTATTTACTGACACAAATGGAATGTGTTGCCACTGGGCAGAAATGTGTAAACAAGGAAGACTTGAGGACAGTGAGGAAACTTCTGTGTGAAATTTGATGAGCCTAAGATTATCAGACTGTGTTCCCGGAACCATAAATTAGCCTGTTGTAGTGATCAAGTCAAAATGCTACCTTGTTTCAGGAGCTTTCGGCCAGGCTGCTGTCAATTCACAGTGATCAAGACTTGATTTTGGTCACTTTTAAAACATTTGAAGAAATCTGGAAGTTTTCAACATATTACTCGCTAGGTAAACCATTTCCTTTTTTTCCAAACGTTGTCTTTTGGCACCTTGTCACTGAATTTCAATGATCTATAATATCACGATTTTATAGACATTTTAAGTTGATGTTAGACGTATAGTTTTTTCTCTGTTGTGGCAATGATTTGGAGTTGCTACATTCAGCCATGGTGTAAAAAAAAATGTCACTTCATAGACAGATTGATGCTCATCATCTTACAATATATTGAACCTGTATATCCCTCCTTCTCTTCCTGTGGGCAGGCTTTGTTGGCCATTGCTTAGAGAACCTGTTGTTGGACCAATTGTTCTGGCTGAACAACCTGGATGATGAAGACGTCAGGATTGAGGTCCAGACAAATGGAGAATCCTTGGAAATAATGTGGAAAGGCCTCCTCCTACAGGACGGTGAGAATGTAAACATTCCAATGTCGCAAACAAAACAAGAACTGGAATTCCGAATTTAAATAAAAAGATTACTTAACATAAATAATTAAACATTGAAACATTCAAAGGAAGATGCTCTCAATAGAGTTTAGTAATTTATTAGAACTATATTGCTGTGCTAATATTTATTTTTAGCTATAGTTGAATGATACAAGATCCACCTGTATGGTGAGCAATATGTGTGCCATTTGCTTAGGTACCCCTAAATTGTCGGATTAGGGTGCGGGCTTTCATGTTGTAACAGACTTTGGAACCAGGAATGTAGAGGATCGCTAGTGTAGGGTAACCCACACAAACCATGAAATCACTCCATAGGGGCCTGTCATTACCCCTGAGAGGGGTCGGAGCCTGGACTGTACAAAAATTGTAAGCCGCGACCAGAACTCCAAGCCAGTCTCTTGAAGGAAAGCCTCTGGTTCTGCAAGGCCAGGAAGAACAAATGAAGCCTGCAGCTTAGTCACATTGCCAGGCTGAGATGGTGTAGAGATGGCATAAGACTGTTGAGTGGCATAAGACTTTAAGAAACTGATAGACTACAGAGATGGGAATACCTGAGCAGGGTGGAAAGTGAGTGAGGTGAAATATAGATGGCAATGCAAATGTGAATTTGAAACCTGGCATGATTTTAATTCATTGTGTGCAGACATGTTGAGTTTTATCGATTTTTAGCTAATTCATTACGGGGTGCACTCTTCACATGTGCAGTATTTCATAGGTGACAGATGTGTGCGTGTGTGTGTGGTGGGTGGATTGGGGGAGGAAGGAGGTTCATAGGAATAGATGAGTAGCTCCATTGTCTGATTTGTACAAATACATTACTGTAGGCTGTTTGTAGTGAGGCAGACTGTTTGTAGTGAAGTCTGTGATCTGGACCATCTTGCAGTGCTACTTGCGTAACAAGCTGCAGAACTGTTTTGGGGGAAATAAAAATAAATTGAGTAAATTGAATGATAGATTTCTATAATAATAGGGCATGAATGTATAAATGTTACACAGCTTGGAAAAAAGCTAACAAATAGTTCTACATTTCTTCAGATATTAACCCATAACTTTAATTTAATTTATATCTTGTAACTGTTTGTGTCTAACCATTGTCCAGATTTTATTTGTAAATCTCTTGATGCAACCCAAATATTGATTATGTTTCACTATGTTTTTCCTTAAGGTTTGTTCTTTGCAAGGTGTCCATTAAATCTTCAGAAATGTGAAGAAGTTGACCTGGAACTCAAACCAAATGATTTTGTTGTTGTTGCGGATGCTAAACCCAGTTCTAAATGGGCAGGACATTCTTTGTTCAGTGGCAAAAAGGGTTTGCTACCAAAATCTTGCTTCCAAAGTCTGGAGCTTCTCATTCCTTTCCACCAGTAGGTAGCAATATTTTTCACCCACCGTTTTAAATTGGAATGAATTTAAGTAACCAAAGTAATAGGGATGAGTGTGAGATATATAGTTTTAGAGATGGTGAGTGGTTTACAAAGTCCCTTAGCGTATTGGTTAGAGACTCGCCTCACAAGTGAGAGGACCCAGGTTCGATTCCCAGGTAAGGCGAAACCTTAGCAAGTTTCCTTACTCCATATGCCTGTTTACCAAGCAGTAAATAAGAACCTGTTTGTTAATCAATTGGTGTAAAAATCCCTTAAAACAAATAAATAGCTAGATAGCTGGATGGATGGAGAAATGGATAAAGAGAGATAGAGAGAGGGAGATAATATAGATATAGATAGATGGATGGGTGGGTACATGAGTGTATGGATAAATAATTTGGCCACTCAAATAATGACTGTTGTGAGAGATTGTAGTGGATAATTGGCTGCCACGTTTCATCTGCAAAATGAACAGTCGGTTCACTTTAAAATATATTCTGTGAAGCGCTTTGAGATGTCTCAACAACTTGATAAGGCGCTGTATCAAATGCAAGGATTGTTATTATGTTTTTGCTAAACAAATCTAAAAGCCAAAAGTTTTGATTCAGCTTCCTTGATCATCATGGGGTAATGTCTTCACCTAACCGATTGGACAGCCCAACATCAGACATGTATTCATCCTCACTTGGCCTGAGAGCTCAATCGCTCTTGAACCTTCCAAATTGTAAATTCCATCCCACTTATCGGATATCTTGTAGGACACATCAATATAATAGTCCCTGAATCACAAATATGATTATGCTAAAATATTTTGTAATATTCATCCATTCCCAATTCTTCTCTATTGAACTCTGCCTCCTTTCCTCCATTATCAACATTCCCTCCAATCCCAGTACTGTAATGTAACTGCACCCATCCCTGTATCCTAAATACTGTTACCAAGAAGATAGTCACGCAATTATTTTTAGAAGGACGTCGGATCCACAGGATCCACTTCTTTTTACAGTCATTCAGAATTTCTTTTGTTTGTAATGCAATATCGACCTTCGCATTTGAACCTGACCCTGGAATGCTTGTTGTTGACATTGAGCATCAACAGTGGAAATGTGGAAACTCCAGATAACTCAACCCTGTGGCTTAACTCATCAATAGCACTTAAGTCATCAATATCCTGCACGCTCTCCGTGCAAAATATTAATAAAGGATTTCTCTTTACTTGACACTCTGCTTAACACGTAACGCGTTGCATTCTAGAAATGATTGTAAATACTTACAATGCAAAATTGATCGGATAACTTGTCCTATAAGATGGTATCTTGCATTGAAGAGGCCACCAATCCTAACCTGTGAAGGGTTGGGCGCGCATGCTCAAATGCATTGCAGAGGCCACTGCTCTACTAGAGGGCCGGATCATCCTGCCCTGTATCCTACTCTATCCTGTGACAGCATATGGTGGGAGGCCACAGCTCAGCCCTCCATAGACCAGAGGCCTCCGAGATGCATCTGAGCACAGGTCACAGGCACTCGGTGGAGGTTGGGCGCATATGCTTAGATATGGTGTCAACGGATACTGGCTGAGCGAGCGAGAGAGAACGGCACTGTGGGGCCTGGGAGCATAGGTTTTATCAAATAAACTTATACTTAACTTCAACAAGTTTTAACAAATACACTGACAGTCCTGGGGGTGAGGCTGCTCCATCACACTGACAGCTGCTCGCTCTGTATGGGCGCAGTGCTTGTTGGCGTATACATGCTCACAGCGCCCCCTGTGGGGCAACTATGCCTAACTTGCCACATCTGATAACTCATCACTGAGCAATTTTGCCTTAGAGTGACGAGTTATCTGGTATTTACTGTATTTCCTTCTTTAGTGAACACAAACAATCTATAAATTAAGGCACGTACAACATGGGAATATTTTGCAAGTTGCCATTAACATTCGGAAATAATAATGATAATCCTTGCATTTAATATAACACCTTTCACTTCCTAAGGAGGTCTCAAACATGTTTCACAGAATTTATTGTAAAGGGCAGTGACTGTGAACAATTCCCTTTCAGAATTCATATGGTTATATCTCATTATATTTTATGAAGTAATGCATTTGACAAAATTATACTTGATGTTTTCTAGGTGGTTTTTCAAAATGTTTACTGAAGATCTTGGCATACACAATGATCTGTCTTCAGAATTTTCTTACCCACTTGGTAAGATCCTTACATTTTTACACATAAAAATGTTGTTTAGAACAAGCATTCATTTTAATGTGTTATTTTTTGTGCAAATTAAATTGAGTGAAATTCCACCTGGGTCGAGATTCACTCTATTTTAACATTTCAGAGAATCCAGAATTTGGCAAATTGAATTAAGTCTTAACCAAATGTCTCTTGTTCTTAATAGAACTCACAGCAAACCAGCATTAAAATTTAGACTTTATTTAAGAATAGTTTAATATGTGGATACTCCAAAATGCTAAAAATAAAATAGAGTAAATCTCGGCACAGGTAGAATTTGAACCCCGTTATTTGCTAAATCTAGCCTATGCATTCTTCCTCAATTACAATGGAATATCCCATTTAGACTCCAGTGTTGAAGTGCACCAGTTACTGTACATTTAATAATGTAACTATTATGCAACTGTATTGAAGATGCATCAGAGACGCTCACAGGGAACTACTGTGTAGAACTAACAAGAACAACAAGTTGCATTTATGTAGTGCCTTTCTTGCAGGGTAGCGTCTCAAAACACTTAGATGAAAGCCTTAAACAATCTATCTCCATCAAACGAATCATTTAGAAAGAGAAGAAATGGAAGAGGCTCTGCGGCAGTCTGATTTTAAGCGCTCCAAGATGCTACCCACATGAAAGGCGCTATGTAAATACAAGTTGTTGATCTCATTGATGTAATGGATTAGGCCCATTCTCACAGTACTCCTCAAATACGAAAATGATAGAAGCGTGCAAATATAAGGCTTACTTCAAAGTTCCCAGGCACTATTTGAAAGAGCTATACTGTACTTGGGGTTCTTAGATGTTTGCTGCATAAGAATATTATCAGTAACATTCCATTAACACAATAGCTGCTAACCTCTGGAAAAGCTACATGTAATTTGAAATATGTTTTAATTGTTTTCTATAGGTAAGGGCTCCTGCATCGCAATGGTTGATTATGAAGGTGCTGGGCTTGAGGAGTTGAGTTTCCAAATAGGACACAAGATTGAGATCATTGGGTTGCTTATCGCCTGCATGCAGTGGTTTCTGGGCAAAAATGAAACAAGTGGAAAAATTGGATTTGTGAAAACAAATCACGTGAGACCCAAAGACTTTACTCCACTGTAAGTATTTACAGATCTTAATTTTGGGAAGTTGCAGTGGCTCACAATATTTTATTTAAAATATTTGATGGATTTAAGATAAGAAATCAGAATTCACTAAGAAAATTGGAAGACAAGATCTAAAATAACTTAAAGCTTCAGAGATATTGTTGTTGGAGTTCTGCTCGCACCTGCTTCTGCTCGAGTTGGAGAAATCACAGAGCTGGAGATAGTGGGAGGGTGTGCTAGGGTATGAAAGAATTTAAAGGTGATCCTATCGAAGGTACCGATATCTGTGTATGTGGATATAGGAGTGAGTGAGTGCTAGTAAGATTGATATGATTTAATAAGATATGTGTCCCAATTTGAATAAATGTATGACAGTGCTGCCAGTTCTGCAGTTCATTAAGATTTAAACCAGCTTCAGACAGACAGTGTTACCAAAGATTTACCATCTTTTCGTAGGACAAATGATCTGTTGTTCATTGATGAAGCAGAAAGCTCCTTTTTCACCGAGCAAGAAAAGTTCAACGAAGAAGATTCCATGAAGTTGCTAAAGCAACTGACACGGACAGACATCAGTAATGTATATCAAATGGGTGAGTCAACCTGCAACAATGTGACTAGTCTTACATTACAGTACTGTATTTGGTTCTTGAAGGGTCAGAAAAATACCACTGAAGCTACTGATCGCTGCGGGCAGGTTGTTTGTTAAATAACAACATTTATATTGTGCCCTTCACGCAGGGTAAAGTAAAGATTGTCCGTAACCAATGTTTTACCCTTTGCTGTAAAATTACAGAAAAGTCACAAATTTGCTTTGAAAGTTATTTAAGTCTCTTCTACAAATTATTGTATGGAAAGTGGCTGCTGTGTTCACAGTCACAATAACTTTACAGTAAATCCTGTGAAACAATTTTGGCCATTTCAATGACTTGATGAGACGCTACATCAAATGCAAGGACTATTGTTATTAAATGAAGTAAATATATTTCACTGGCTATTCTAATTTTTGTTTCATTTCTGAATCCAGACAAATTAGGGCCATTGAACCCACAGTACGAGGATGGAAAAGGTAATAAAATAACAATCTGCATAATATAATTCAGCTCTTAACTTAAAATGTCTTTGTCAGCCTGGCTCAGTTGCTAGCACTCTTGCCTTTGGGTCAGAAGGTTTTGGGTTCAAGTCCCACGATCGGAGCTCATAATCTAGACTGACATTCTAATGAGTCCTGATGTTGCAGTGTTTCATTCTGCTGTGTGCAAATCGGCTGGCTGGCTGTAGAATAGTCAAAAAAACTACCAACAAAAACAATGAGAGTTATTTTGTTGATCTCCTCCTACCATAGAACTCACAGCAGCAGGTTTGCTCCTCAAAGGTGCGAATCCCATAGCTGGTCTTGGTCTCAGTGACACCGATTGGGTAGTTGGTATTCCACAAACCAGCACTGAGACACTATGCTCCACCATTCAAAATACCAGAGGCAATGTTGACATTCTCAGGCCCAAACCACAGTTATTGGGAGGGAAGGAGCCTCCGATTGTGGTGACTCAGGACCACTTCACAGAACACTGACGTAACTCAGCTTATAATAAAATTCCCATGTTAACTAGATCCCACTGTAAAAATAAATTGTCGACAAAGAATAACCACATGACTGAAGTACCAATGGGGTCCCAGTGCCTATTGAACCCTGCCCCAACAAGAAAGCAACAACAACAACTTGCATTTATATAGCGCCTTTCATGCCGGACGGCGTCTCGGAGTACTTAACACTGGCAGAGACCAATGCCGAGCCAGGGGGAGGGAAAAGGCACCACATCATCAGAGAAAGGGAGGAGGAAAAGGAAAGAAAATAAAGGAAAAAATTTTTTTATTAAATTTTCCACAGTTTGACACAAAGCATTACTGGGTATTCCATAGAATTTAATGGAATTAAAGATTTAGTGGCACCGCTTCTTAGATCTAATGATGCACATGTCCACTTGCTGTAAATAACTATTATTTTTGCACAACAGAGCAACACATTCCAAGTGTTAAAGAAATGGATTTGATGAAAGCTCAGCTCAAAGGACCTATAAACAGCTCAGAAGGTACACAGTGCAGCATATCAAACAATAGGAGCCAGGCTACTAGAAAGGGCTCTTTCGTTGCTGACAACGATTCAACACTGGTGTCTGAGGAAGCAGAAGAACAGTGTTTCTGTATCAACCACACAGAGGGCTTGGACAACCCTGAAACCTTTTACCCTTTGTTGCTTTTTTTGAACAGCAAGGGATACAGCAAACACTTTAAAAAACTTTACGACTCCTGCTTTTCTTTTCTGAAGTCCACTTTTCATGGCTACAGTGACGAGGAGGAAGTGGTACATTACCTTGAGGTAGCGAGAGAGGCAGCAAGAAAGCAACGAATGCAGTGGGCCCAAACACGTGTCTGTCTTCTGTTGGGCCGAATGTGCGCCAAGAAGCACAAATTCTCACAGGCCAGAGTGTATTTTGAAGAGGCAATAAGTTTGCTGAAAGGGGAATTTGCAGATCTGTTTCTATCAATTGCTGTGTACACGAACCTTGTCGCCACGTACCTCAAGCAGAATAACAAAGAAAAATGCACCTCTGTTTTTGAGAAGATAGCAGCCTTGCTACTGGGAATTCCAGATTATATCTGTAGCACAGATATGGAGTCTGAAATCCTTAAATATGTTTTAAGGCATGCCGTATTGAACAAAAATCAGATTGTTGAAGCCAGGGCATGTTTTCTTCTAACTAAGCTTTACATACATCTTAAACAGTATGAAGATGCATTGCCTTTCATTGAACGACTGCAGTTTTTGAAAAATAGTTTCATGGTAGGAAACACCACTTCTTTGGACTTTCACTTTTCCCTTGGATCATTGTACAGTCAAAAATGTTTGCCAAACCTTGCTCTGAGCTGTGCAAAGCTTTCATGCTCACAGCACGGTAGGACGTTAGTGGATTGTTTGAAAAGCACAAACTTTGTTATGATAGATGCCTCAAAGCTGTGTGGATCAGGGGGAGCCATTCATGTGATTCCAACACAGGTAGCAACTTACCTTAAACGGGCACTTACCTTAGCAAGCAGACCTGAACAGGACAATATTTGTCGAACTATTTACCTCAGTTTGTCAGAAATCTACAAACACCACAAAGTCTACAGCAAAGCAGTTCTTTACATGACAGAAGCCATTAACACAGAAGCCTCTGTTGGTACTGAGGAAGTGATTGACGCACAAATTTCCCTTGCATGTTTGCACATTCTGAATAGTCAGCCCTCTAAGGCTATTGTCCTTTTGAACATGTTGTTGGAGTACGTTCGGGATAGTCCTGTACAGCGGGGGGTTGTTTACAATATGCTCGCTATAGCTAAGAGAAGAGTGAACAACGTCAAGGAAGCTGCTGAGAACTACCGTCAAGCTTTGTCTATCTCTGTGGAGACAGGCCTGAAATTTAACCAAGCCATTGCCCAGGCCAATTTTGGATTCCTTTGTCTCTGGTCAAAGGCCTACAGTCTGTCTGAACAATTGATATTAAAGTCAATTCATCTTTTCTCTGAACTACCAAACGTTACCTCTGATGAGAATTTTATTCACGTTCTGATTGTGCTGGGACAATATTATATTGATCAGCAATTAAAAGACAAAGGGATATTTTATTATGAATGGGCACTTCTGATTGCATTGAAAGGGAATCTTATTGAAAGTAAGTACCATATTGACTTTTTTAAAGAAAAATTGATATCCACATATAGTGTATTTTGATTTATTCTAGAAGCCTCTGCAGGTCATTTGCTCACTTTGGCAATCAGTCAAGTTGGGAGAGGGCTTGGCAAAAGTTTACACACTACAGGGGTTTATTATGCCAACAGTAAATTCATTCTGTTGTGAAATCCTGAACAAATGCATCGTTATAGTAATGCAGGTTATTTGGAATTGAGCTATAATACCAAGGTCTTAAATAATCAGGTAACAGGAGAAAAAAAAGGAGTCTCATGAAAAAAAAAGATTCTTTTTACTGAAGGTTCAATCCTGTATCTTAAACATCCAGACACACAGCACAAAATACTGTAAATCTCCTGACTTGGAAACAAGTAAAAACATGTTTGTTGTTATAATATTAAGTTATACTGCTGTGATAATATAAAATACGGAGATATGGTATATTTAGTCAGTTAATGAAAGATTGTTTTTCTTTATAAGTTATCTGAATTCTTATCACAATGTAGCAATGAAAATTAAATGACCTGTCAGGGAGACTGATTACAAGCTCACATCAAGGTTTGAATGATCCATTGTAAATCATTAGGATTTGTATTGCGCTCGTAGTTGTACCAAGTCAGAGGAACATTATACTGTAATTAGAAAAAGAATAAAAAGCGCTTTTTGTCATTGACAATACAGTAAAACCAAAATGTCACTGCAGTAACTCAACAACAATAACAATTTACATTTATATACCGCATTTCACTTTGGAGGATGTCTCAAAACACTTCACACACAGACTCCCCAAGAAGTACATTGGATAAAATCTGTGATACTGATTAACTTGTGCATAAAGTAAGAGCTCTTTCCCTCCCTACCTGTCTGGCTCCTCCACCTATCAAAACAATGGAGCACATTCACTTAAAAGAAAGCCTAAGTCCAGGGAAATGATTAGAAATGGGGGAAAGCTCTAACCAAGCACTTTCTATACTTATTGCTTCAGTTTTTCTCCTTGAATCTAGGCCAAGTACAAGTCACACAGTTGCTCTGCCAGTTTTACAGTTCTGATTTCCCGAACGAGGCCCAATGCATCATTTACAATGAGTTTCTGCTTTCCCTTACTCGCAAGCTGGCAGACAAGGAACAGGAAGGCCATGTCCTGCAGAACATCAGCCAGCTCTACCTCTCTCTGGGAACGGAACGGTATGGGATAGATTGAACAACAACAACAGCAAAATTACATTTGTATAACGCCTTTCATATCGGGAGGACGTCCCAAGACACTGGACATTCAGAGTTTCAGACCTGAGCTGAGGGTTGGGCTGGGGGAGGAGGGAGGGCGGGGGGGAAGCAGGGAGATCGAAAGCATGATCGAAGAGGAGGGTCTTGAGGTGGGTCTTGAAGATGACAAGGGAGGGGGCGAGACAGAGGGATTGCGGAATGGAGTTCCAGGGGTGGGTGGAGAGTGGAACGCCCGTCCGCTGATAGTGTGGTAAGCAATGCGGGGACATGAAACAGGCCTGAGCCTGCTGAGCGGATGAAGTGAACAGGGTGGTAGGGGGTTAGGAGGTCGCAGAGGTAGGAGGGAGAAAGACGATAGAGGGCTTTGAAGGTGAGAACCAGGATCTTGAACTGTATCCTCTGTGTGATGGGAAGCCAGTGGAGTTGGGCAAGGATGGGGGTGATAGGGTCGCAGAGCCTGGTGTAGGACACGAGCTGCAGAGTTCTGGATGATCTGCAGCCTGTGGAGAGAGGAGTTGGGGAGGCCGACAAGCAGTGAGTTTGCGTAGTCGATCCTCGATGTAATGAAGACGTGTATGAGGGTTTCGGTGGCCTGTGGTGTGAGACAGTGTTGGAGCCGGGCAAAGTTGCGGAGGTGGGGGAAGGCAGAACGGGTCATGGCGCGAATGTGAGAGAGAAAGGATAGTTGAGGGTCGAACAAGACCCCAAGGTTCCGGACTTGCTCAGTGAGGTGGAGTGTGTAACCATGGATGGTGATACTGTCAGCGTCTGAGGTGTGGAGGCGCTGACGGGAGCCAATCAGGAGAGCCTCATCTTGTTGACGTTCAACTGAAGAAAGTTATTTCTCATCCAGGACTTGATGTCTGACAGACATTCTGTCAGGATAGCAGTGGTCCTGGAGTCAAGTGTGGAGGCAGAGAGGTAGAGTTGGGTGTCATCTGCATACGTGTGGAAGTTAACCCGATGTCTGTGGATGATGTCACCAAGGGGGAAATGGTATCTGAGGGAATATTTCTGTCTGGGTATAGGCTTACGACATCTTTTTCTCAGCATTTTAAAACATGCAATTCCTTTAACGATTCTTAAATTCATTCTTAATTTTGAAGCTTTTTTTGGTATTTTGGTAGTTTGTCAAAGAGGCAAGAAAATTGGCTTTAAATCAAAATTAAGAATTATCAAAAGTTTGTATGCTCAGAAACGCTAAGAGAAAAATGCTTGCCTGGACCTGGGTGGAATTTCTACCCACTAATGTCTTGAAGATTTCAGATAATAATAATAGTCCATGCATTTGATCTAGTTCTTTTCATATCAGGAGTGCAACTGAAAATGTTTCACAGGTTTTACTGTTTTGTCTGTTTTGTCGGCGAATAGCATAGTTCTGATTGGTTTTGTTATTTGTGTGCAAATGGTAGGAAGATTTCCTTTGTAGTTACTAGGGTCTAAATTGCAGCAGTTGCAAAAGGAATTTGGCCATTCTGTGGCCAAACATCTGAACTGCACACAGCTCTGAAGTCAGAGCTGAAATCAGAATCCAAGGGAGTTCCAGAGGGTCTGCCGTGATACATATAGAATTTGTTATTCCTCACTGTTCTGTAGTTTAGGGAGATTGACCCTGTGTATGCAGTGATATAATGCCATGACATTATCAATATAAGATTAAAATATATTTATAACATTGCTTTACAAAGGGACAAATCAATTACATTTACTGAACAGAGCAGAACAGTGCTCAGCAGATGGTCTCCTTGGAGTTGAATTGGCTTCGAGGTGACATGTTTAGCAACAGAATGTTGGAATTGAGCAGTCTCGGTTGTTCAGTTCATGGGCCAAGCCGGTCCACAGTACCCCAGGGTACTGCTGATGGCACAGCCAGGCTGGCTCATCGGCAGGATTTGGAAGGGAAGACTAGTCATTGGGGGCAGGGACTCTTCCCACTCAGCTCCCATTAACCCTGCAAGCCCAAGCTCTAACTGGTGGGATGGTCCCAGCTGGAGAAGCAATAGGAAAGCTTGCCAGGCAGTGCCCAAGCCTTGGCTCTTGGTCAGATAATCCACCCTGCCATCCAGTTCTAACTCTGTTTATCTTTGTGAACTCAGAGCATTTCGGTCAGCTCTGGAATATACCAAAAGGAGCCTTGGAATCTTCATTGATCTGAAGAAAAAAGAGCAGGAAGCTTATGCCTGGCTTCAAGCAGGGAAGATTTACTACATTCTGAGAGAGAATGAATTAGTGGACCTCTACATACAGGTAATGAGAAACTACAAAAGGCACATGGGTGAGTGCCAGTGACTTTCCATCCAGCTCAGTTTAAACAAGGCTTGGAAGGTCATTAACATCAATCGTTGTATATTATATCTATTTATCATGACAAGGCTGTCAAATCTATTAATGATTAAGGATTATTTTGTGTAGTATACTGCAGGTTCTATTAAACAGAGTCAGCTACAAGGATATGGAAAAAGGCAGGTAAGTGGGACTGAAAGGATTGCCCTTGATGACGTCAGTACAGACCCGATAGGCTGTGCCATAAATTTATAAAAATATATCCAATTTAATTCTTGTGGTTGTGCAGCGTTTAGTATTGTGGAGGTATAATCAGTATCTACTGCATATCAAACACTTATCAATACTATTTCCATAGAACCATAGACATTTAGGGCATATAAGAAGGCCACTTTGTCCATTTTGTCTATGTTGGCTGCCTTAAGAGCAATCCTTTCAGTCCCATTTACCTGCCCTTTCCCCATATCCCCATTGCTGACTCTTTTTAAAATATTTATCTAGTTCGCTCTTGAAGGCCAATATGGATTCTGCCTCAACCACCACTTCATATCTTGACTGCAAAATTGTTGATCATGGAACTATAGAAAGTGTTTAGCACACAAAGAGGCCACATGGCCTATTGTGTTTGTGCTGCTGCTCGCTCCCCTACTAGAATTAAATACTCTGATCCCTTTTAATTTAAGCAAAACAGCCTGGTGCTCTGATGAGAAAACAGTAGGGTCGTTGCTTTTTTTGGAAGAATGAGATCAGATGGGCTGACAAGCCTTCTTCATCCGAACTGATTTTGTGATCTATATTCCTGCTGTTTTGCAGACATGTTACTTTTGGAAGTCATGATGTGTGCTGTGTTCTATCTGTTGTTAAATGTAGCTTATATTTAGCAGTGCATTATATAACCTAGCCTTATATCAATAGTTTACAGATGCTCAATACCTAAAAAGCTCAGTAAGAGCCTCATTGTGATTTCTCCACAATAATGCTGCTCATTGTTTAATAACAATTTAAGGTTGCACATGATGCTGCTGTCAGTACGGAAAAATTAGACTTTGCACTGGAAGTTTTTGAAGCAGCAGGAGATGTATTTTTTAATGGATCCTGGGAAAGAGAGAAAGCCATATCCTTTTATAGGGTAAGTGCTGTCTATGTATATTCTGCTTTGGCTACCTGATGTTCTTTAAATCTAAACTGTTGTAGAATTGTGTTTAATTTATCAGTTGGAAGGTTGTGTTTGTAGGTCCGGTTAATCATGTGTAAATGTTTCGCCCACAAAATATACGGTAAATTCACTTTACAGCACATTCTGTGAAGTGTTTTGAGACGTCTCGAAGATGTGATAAGATGCTATATTAAATACAAGGATTATTATATTATATTAAAGCTACAAAACAATCTAAAGTGAAGTTCACTCAGGTATCACATCACACTCTGCAAATGGAATTCATTTTTGTTTGTATGTGAGAACTAAGATTTTGAACATTTTATCCATTTCCAGATCTTTTGCCTGCTTTGATTCCAAATATCTGTAGAAACATAGATATTAAAATACAGACAGATATTATCCTTTTCCGATGTTCCCCTCCCTCTCCACTCTGTAGCACAGTCAGGCCAATTCTAGATTCCAGCACACCTATTATTGCACTGGGTGGGCTCAGCTAACTCAGCCGAATCTAAACATTGAACCAGGGATTGTGTATGACTTAGCTTCACTGTGGCAATATCAGCCAAGCCATTAGGAAACAAGGATTGGGTTCATGTCTAAAATGATTGATTTGATCTTAAGAGAGAGAAAGATCCCTGTTAAAAAAATACTCTTTTTGGGGAAAAAAAGGTTGAGTCAGTCTTAAGACTATACATTGATATAGCAAATGTTATAGATTTCATGGGTCATGAGAGACGAGACATCTTACAGTGATGACTGCACTGAAGTCTGAATGGTTTCTGTCTGGTTTCTATGTTACACTGAAATCAGCTGTAACAAATTGCTTCAGAGATCTCCCTTGTGTGTTCCAGGATCGAGCGCTTCCACTTGCCATTAAGAGTGAAAACACAAATGTAGAGCTCCGACTCTGCAACAAGCTGACAGAACTACTGATGCATGGGAAGAGCTACGCAGAAGCCCTGGAATTTGCCCAAACTGCTCTGGCACTCAGCGTGTCCCTGGGTAACCGAGATCTTTCTCTTTCTTTCCAATTCAACAACAACAACAAACAACAAATTAAATTTGTATAGCAAATTGGGGAGGGGGTTCCAAATTTCCACTACCCTTTGCGTGAAAAATTAATTCTGGTGAATCTGCAGTGCACCCCCTCCAGAGTCAATATATCGTTCCTGAGGTGCAATGCCCACTCACAACGTAACTTGGGTTTTATGAATGGAAATCCCTTGAATCTCAGGTCTGAGGGGATATGGACTGAGCTGAGGTCTCACAGTTGACATGAGGTACAGCAGTTTCACTGTAGAAAACCTAAGCACATTGCGGATTCTTTTTCCAACGGTGCACAGTCAGGGATCTGCACTCTTTAATAATACTTTTAGTTCACCCTTTAATACATATGTTTATGTTTTCATAATAGAACCACAGAATGTAATGAATCCTAGTATGTTTACCGTTCAGAAGGAGGCCATTTGACCTGTTGTGTCTGTGATGGTGCAAGTACCCAACCAGAGCCATCTGCATATCGTACTAATTCCACTTCCATCCCTTCTCCTCAAGTTGTCAGGGCAAAGATCATCTCTACTTAAGATGCTCAAATATTTAAAACTCTCATGAGTCTCTGCAAAGTGCTTTGAGATGTTCTCCTGCGTGAAAGGTACCATATAAGTGCAATTTGTTGTTGTCTTTCCATATAATGGTGTTGGAAAAGCATTCTGTTGGTGTAACCGTTGGAAAGAGAATCCGCAATGTGCTTAAGTTTTCTACAGTGAAACTGCTGTACCTCATGTCAACTGCGAGACCTCAGCTCAGTCCATATCCCCTCAGACCTGAGATTCAAGGGATTTCCATTCAGAAAACCCAAGTTACGTTGTGAGTGGACATCGCACCTCAGGAAGCATACATTGACTCTGGAAGGGGTGCACTGCAGATTCACCAGAATTAATTTTTCACACAAACGTTAGTGGAAATTTGGAACCCTCTTCTCAAATGGCTGTGAAAAATTAAAATTTTCAAGACTGAGATGGACAGATATTTGTTAGGTGAGGGTATCAAGGCAAGGGTGGGTAATTGGAGTTGAGGTACAGATCAGCCATGATCTTATAGAATGGCGGAACAGGCTCAAGGGGCTGAATGGCCTTCTCATGTTGCTATGTACCTATGTTTTTTTCCAGTTCAATTGTTTTTTCAACCACCAAAACTTTCATGGCTAACTCATTCCAATTGTAACATGTTCGCAATGATTCGTTTGCTGTTAGGATTAGTTTTAGTGGGAGTTACTTAACTGACGTCAGCAAATCAAGAAGGAGCAACCTTTAGATAAATTGAGCAATTAATTCAACCTAAGGTTACTGCATTCTTGGCTCTCACTCAGATATTCTGTAATGGAAGAGAAGAAAGTTCTACATTCTTCACTTTTTAATGCTGACCAGAAAGCAGTTTCACAAATACGATTGTGGTCTTGAAACTAATTGATTCCTGCCTGTGATCTTGAGACTAACTGAGTGAAGATTGTTTAAAATTCACCATGTAAAACATTCATTTGATTGATTATCTGGTCTGTGTACATTATCAACCCTACAAGCTCATCCAGGGTTACAGGTTGATTCTTCTACGATTGGTAAATGTACCAGCCTTGTGGTATGAGCATTTAATAAGGTTTTTCCCATTTTAATTCCACACAGTGAAGGTCAATTTTTTTTAACTAATGGTCAAAGAAATGCCAAGATTTAAAATGAACTGCTCTCAATTAGCAAAATAATTTGTTCCCATTGACCTGTGAGACCCACTGCTTCATATGATTTCATTGATAGAGGTTTTAGCTCCACACTTAGCTAGTTCTATTTTAATTATAGCACTGGTGCTTCATTCAGCTGTAATGACAAGTGAATCGACTTTTATGCTTGAGAAGGAAATGGACAAATTGATCCAGACAAATTGTTCACTATTTGAAGGATTCAGACAAAAGTTTCAAAATGAGATGGTTAGGAATGAGAAAGGAAGTCAGGCAAATTGTTTTGCACGCAAGGTGATAAACTCATTGAATCAGTTACCAGGAAAAGCCATTGAAATGTACAGTGAAACTTAGGTCAACAACAGCACGCTGGACGAGATCTCAGAGAGCTTCACAATAACAGATCCCGGTGCCGAGCCAGGGGGAGGGGGAGGAAGGTGATCAAAGGTGCAGTCGAAAAGAAAGGTCTTCAGCCGAGACCTGAAAATAGGAAGAGAGGGGCAGAGGCGAAGGGAGTGAGGAAGGGATTTTAAGAGCCTCGGGGCATAGTGGCTGAAGATACGGCTGCCGAGGGTGGAGCGGAGGACTCGGGAGACAAGGAGGATGCCAGACCCATAGGAACGACGACAATGGGCACTGTTTTGAGGAGAGAGGAGGTCAGAGAGTGGAGGGATTGGAAGACAAGGGTGAGGATCTTGAAGTCGATCCTCTCTGGGATGGGGAGCCAGTGCAGTCTGGCAAGGACTGGGGTAATCGGGGAGCGGAGTTTGGTGTGGGTGAGAATGCGAGCGGCAGAGTTTTGTATAATCTGGATTTTATGGATGGTAGTGAAGGGAAGACGGGTGAGGAGGGCATTTGAATAGTCCAGCCGAGAGGTGACAAAGACATGGAGCAAGGTTTTAGCGGCTTTCAGAGAGAGGTATTAGCAGAGACAGGCGATGCGTTGGAGATGGAAGAAAGCGGTGCTGGTGAGGGACCGGATGTGGGGGAGGAAGGATAATTGGGGGTTGAACCTGACGCCTAGGTTGCGTACGGGTTTGGAGAATTTTTGGGGGAGGTCAGGTAGGTGGAGGAGGTGAAACCTATGAGATTTTAGACGTTGACAAGAGCCAAAAAGTATGGCTTCCATCTTGTCAACGTTCAGCTGAAGGAAATTTGCGTTCATCCAGCTCCTGAGGTCTGACAGGCAGGCTGACAGAACATCAGGGGACTGGGGATTGCAAAGAGAGGTGGAAAAATAGGGTTGGGTGTCATCCGCATACATGTGGAAGTGTGCCCCATGTCTGGAGATGACATCCCCAAGAGGGAACATGTAGATCAGAAAGAGGAGGGGCCAAGGATGGATCCTTGGGGTACCCCACAGGTAACCGGGTGAGAGCGGGAGGAGAAGCCGTTTGTGCAGATGTACTGCTGGTGGTTTGTGAGGTAGGATTCGAACCAGGCGAGTGCGGTCCTTCTGAGGTGGATGATGGAGGAAAGGCAGTCAAGGAGGATGGCGTGATCGACTGTGTCGAATGCGGCGGAGAGGTCCAGGAGGACAAGGAGGCAGAGGGAGCCCTGGTCACAGATAGAGAGGATGTCATTTGCGACTTTCACAAGCGCAGTCTCTGTACTGTGGGCAGGGCGGAAATTGGACTGGAGGGGTTCGAAGAGGGAGTGGAAGGACAGGTGTGCGCGAAGTTGGTTGGCAACAACGCGTTCTAGGACTTTTGCGAGGAAGGGCAGGTTAGAAATAGGGCAGTAGTAGCTAGGGTTGGAGGGATCTAGGGAAGGTTTTTTGAGGAGGAGGGTGATGACAGCAGTTTTGAGGGGGGCAGGCACTGATCCGGAGGAGAGGGACTGGTTGATAACGTTAGCCAGTAGTGGGCAGAGGAAGGGGAGCTGGGTGACCAGCAAGTTAGTGGGGAGGGGGTCGAGGCAGCAGGTGGTGGGTTTCATTGAGGTCAGAAGGAAACTAGAGCCAATTAAGGCAAGAAAGAGGAGATTGGGGCTGAGAAGGAAGGTAGCTGGGTTTAGACTGATCCAGGATGGATGTAGGGTGTAATATATAAAAAAATATGTGCCAGCTTGGCTCAGTCCTGGAACACTCACCGCTGAATCAGAATGTTGTGGGTTCAAGTCCATGTTGGGATTTGAACTCACATAGTCTAAACTGACACTCCAATGCAATGCTCGAGGGGGTATTGCATTGTCCATTGTATAAGTACTTCACAGTTCATGTTAAACCGAGGTCTTGTCTACCTGTTCAGGTGGACGTGAAAGATCCCGTGGCACTGTTCAAACGAGAAGGGAGTTTCTCCCGGTGTCCTGGCCAATAATCCCCCAAATAAAATTGGTGATTTGTTTCACAGCTGTTTGTGGGACATTGCTGTGTGCAATTGTACTGCTGCATTTGCCTACAAATACACAGTCACTAAATTTCACAGTAAAATCCTGTGAAGCACGTTGAGATGTCCTTCCGATGTGATTCGAGCTATATCAAATGCAAGGATTATTATATTATTATTATATATGGAATATTTCCCTTTTTGTAAAATTTGCTGTTTTCTTCTCTGGTAGGAAATATGTTGAATGAACGCATTGCTTACCATCGACTGGCTATAATACATCAGTCTCTTGGGCAATGCGAGCTGGCTGAACACTTTTATTTGAAGGCCCTCTCCCTCTGCTCGTTTCCACTGGTGTTTGATGAGGAGACCATGTACTATGTCAGAGTGTATATACAACTAGGAGACATGACCTTCTATAACCTCAAGGTAAGAATAAATATTTTATTATATTATTTTATAAATATTATATTATTATTATAAATACAAAATTACAACTACTAAACTCCAATAATATATAAAAGTACAAGCTGCTCTAAAATGAAATCCTTATCCATTGCTATCTTAGCTCTAGGATAGACCTTTCCAGTGCACTCTCCTCCCTATCGCCACCTTTTTTAATAATAATAATAATAATACTTGCGTTTGATATAGTGCCTTTTCAAGTCATTGAGACGTCTCAAAGCGCCTCACAGAATATATTATAAAATGGATTGACTGTATATTTTGTGGATGAAACCAATTTTTTTTTGTAAACCAAGTCATTTAGAACTCAGACAGATTGACACCTTATTAATGACTGGAATGGATAGCCAGGTAGGATGTTGGACTAGTTGAAGAATAAGCTTGGTCCTGTAATGGAAGGATGGCAGCTTTCTGGAAGGATAAGATCAAATTGACTGAAGAGCCTTCTTCATCTGAAGTGATCCTTTGAAGTTACTACATTCCCCTAAATTTTAAAAGGAGTTGCTTTAAATGCGTTCATGATTTTGACTGATTATTATTCGTTCTTACTCACAAGTTTGAATAACAATCTAACGTCAACCGTATCTGTGCGTTTCTGTTGTTTTTTGCAGGATCCACATGACGCAGCTGGTTACTATCATTTAGCCCTTGCAGCGGCCATGGACCTGGGCAATAAGAGTTCTCAGCTGAAAATCTGTACCAGACTCGCCACTATTTACCATAACTTCCTCATGGATCGCGAAATGTCACTTTACTTCTATCAGAAAGCCAGAGCATTTGCCGTTGAACTGAACATTCGAAGAATAAATTTGTCACCAGCCAAGTATTACAAAGCCAAAGCAGAGATGCCTTCAAAGTCCCATGTTTAAGTACGAGTGGCTCCTCTGTTGCTTTGAAGTGATCTGCTGAAAGGTCTTGCATATCGTGAGTGCAACAAAGTGCAGAGCTTCAGGACTTTGATTATTGTCTTTAGATGCGAAAGGTAAGCAGCTACATTGAAGCTTCCTTTTCAGCTCACCTGCACAAACCCTGCCCTCAGCTCACTCTGCCTATTTACTGAACCGATAGCCTGACATTTTGATCCCTACCTCCAGCTGAAATACCAGCCAGAACCACCACACTTCACATCTAATTAACAATAAAAGCTTTGCCGCAGCCTCTTTGTTCAATATTCATTCTTGTTAAAAAATATATTCTTGGAAAGTGTTTGTACATAACTTGGTAACTTTGCACCTTTGTGAGCTGGGCAGTTGTAACAAGCTTATTGTTAAAAAAAACTTTATACTTAATGTGCAGTGAGTGCAGTTGGATCTGCAGTTAAAGAAGAAAATCTTCAATATTCAGCAGGGTTGAGCCAAGACCATTCTTCACTTTATAAGTGAAATTGCTCAATTTGGCTTCATGTGTGATACTCAAGGCATGTAACAACTCCTGCTAATTGTGGAAAATGGGAAATGTAGAACTGTTTTGTGAGTGAATTTCAACTGCAGCATGCAGCCTGGGAAAGCAATACAATAGTTGAAGTTTGAGATTTTCCCCCATGGAAGGATGAGCTAGACCACAGCAGCATATGACACACTCTCGACTTGTTAAAGCTGGAGTGTTGAAGTCACTTATAATAAATATATATTTATATATATATCTTGCATTTGATATAGCGCTTTTCACGTCTTCTAGACTTAATCAACTTAATTAGACTTAATCACGTTAAGTTTACTTGATAATTAACCAGACATTATACATTGGATAGGTTGACCCTAACAATTTCTGAAGATAATTTTGCTGGTTATCTGTTTCTTAGAATTTCTTTTTTTTTAAAAACAAGGTCCCTTCAAGCAAGTTGTGTGTGAATGACACTGCTGGATTTTGCAGCAGGCACAGGGCTCAGATTACTTCTGGTCAGAAAATGGCTCTGTAAACAAGCATTTATCATTGCCTCCAGTGTTTGTTTGTGGGGTAGCCTAGAAGCCACTTCCAATTGGATTTCAAGTGCCCCACAAATAACAGAGCCCCCTGCTTTATAGTGCAAAACTGCTACCAAAGCCAAAGTGAGGAGTCTCCATCAGTGGCAGTGCTGCAGTTTGTGTTGTTTTAGCTGCACCACTGCTTGCGAGCTGACACCAACAATTTACACTTATATGCCATCTTTCATGTCAAGAGAGTGTCTCAAAGCATTTTGAAAGACAGTATGGGAGGCTGAGCTGGGAAGGAGATGGGGACAGTGGAGGGTGGGGGGTGAAGTTGCAGCTGGTCGAAGGTGCAGTTAAAGAGAAACTTCTTTAAAAGTCTTTTCAAAATAGAGATAGAGTGGGGATGAAGCAAAGGATTTTAGAAGAGTTTCAGAAGACTCGTCCAGAATGATTCAAGCAAACTGATCATAATAGCTGATCTGTAAAAGTATATTTCATCCCTTTATTTGTGCAAATCCTACTATGATCATCTTTTATAATATTCACACTCACTATAGATAGCACAAACCTACATTTAGTTACATTAGGCCTGACCGAAAACTTTACTTTTACCAATGAATGCTGATTACTGGAGTTTTGAAGTTTTGATGTAATTCTTTCCCTGTCAATACTATCCCAAGGAAACTTACAACCACAATCTATGTTTCCATTCTGAGCGATAATGTAAAGAATAATTGAATTGTGGTTCATTGAAATGTTCTTAGGCCTCATGTTTGGAAGACTTTGTATAATTAAACTAAACAAGAGAAATGATTTAGATTTTCTCAGTCTATTACATGATCTAAACATTTCAGTTTTGGCATTTTCTCTGGGTAACTCTGCTTTTTTTGTCTATTTACAAAATGTAGCTGCCAGTCATTTCTTTTAGGCAGCAAGTAGGTTGCTAAAGGAACCAAAAAGGCATCCCAATGCGTTATATCATTCAATAAAGCAGACTTTTGTTTTTATTGTTGAAAGCCGATGGCAGGCAAATATTGTAGAAGACCACCACTTGGTTACTCCCAGTTGTGTTTAACTCTTTCTAACACGCTGGTGAATGTTTGGACATTTCTGCAAATTTTGGTTTGGCTCCCAAGTTGCTTTTATGCCAGAAACATTATCATATGATACTTTTGAAATATTGGTGTATAGGTTTGTTGTTGAGTGAATTAATCAAAGCTAATCTGGCATTGAGGGTTTGCACATTTTCCATTGCTGCTGCTCGTGTTGCTGAAGACTGGAACACTGAATAGGAAGCCAGCACTAAGTACTTGGAATTCTTCTTAGATTTGGATTTGCTGCTTGGAGTTTGGGTTTGATCCAACAGACTTTCATTAAGGCAGGAACCAAAGATTTTCATTAAGAGAGGATAAGAAGGGCACATCATAGGTGATATTTGCAATGTTTCTTAATGTCTTCAATATGATAAATAATACATTGATCACATTGTGAAATGCAGCTGATTTCATCCGCACATTTCATAAATTGCTGGAAATCCTCAAGCTGCTGACTTTCAAGCTGATTTGTTAGAAAGTCAGGCTGAAAATGTTAATATTCAGCCTTACTCAACACTAAATAATGTGTGATATTAATAAAAGGATAATGCTCTTGTGGAATTAGTTACAATATCTGGGAAATCTTTGAACCAAATAGTATAAAGGTGTTCATGAGCTGACGAGGTGTGTTTTTGGAAAGAGAAGTGATTGAGGGGTGAGGGTAAGAAGAGGTGGTAGATGAGTTCTGAATTATCAAGAGAACAAGACCCTTTCCTGTCCCAAAAAATGTGTGTCCAGAAGTGCTCTGTCCTTGATGTCATTTTGTAGCTATGCCATTTAAAAGGAAAAAGATGGCTTGCACAGGCTTCCTGGTGTCTGCCATTCACCTTATGAGGGCTCAAACTTGTGCTTGTTGAAAGTCAAATGACTAAGTAGTCATTATCCTCCTGATGTATGTGTGTGTGTGTGGAGAGGGGGGTGTGGTGGTGGGTAGATAAGTGGGGTTTCCTTGGAGCTGGTGACATGTTTCGTATTGGCACGCCAGAATTGAGCCCAACCTCTGTGGCAGTCACGGTAGTCCAGTTTCTGAGCCAAGTGGGTCCTCAGTACTCTCAGCACTGCTGATGACAGCACAGCCAGACTGGCTCATCGTCAGGGCTTGGAAGGACAGACCAGTTACTAGGGACAGTGACTCTTCCCACTCAGCTCCCACTCAGCAAACCAAAGCCCTAATAGGTAGGATGGTCCTGGCTGGAGAAGCAGCAGGAAAGCTTGCAGGATAGTGCTCTCAATGGCAAGCTACGCATGCAGTTTTAGATGGTTAGATTCTAGCAGTACCCCACTGCACACTCTGGGGTCCCCAAGCCTTGGCTCTTGCCAATCTGCGATTAATACTTTCTGGAATTAGCTAAGCAGGATGTGTCCTCCAGGGAGAGACTGTTCATTGCATTCCAATAAGTATCTCTGGAATTTTATGTGTAGGTGCGATGCATGGAACTCTCAGTTTGATTTAGATATCTTAAGCATGGTAATGGGTAAGAGACCTATTCATTCAATTCCATTCTCCAGTCAGTTCCCTATATTCTTATATTTTTCCTTTTCAGATGTTTATGTAATTCTCTTCACAAGAGATAGCATGTTTCATTTCACATGAGATGCCATGAGAGATTCAGAAGAAACTTGCACTTTGTCCCCTTTGATATCACCCTTTCAGCATAGCCACCCTATCACCTTCCTATTACAGCAGCAACAGAATGTGCTCACAATCAAGGTTGGTAAATTTATCAACAAGCACAGAATAACTCTCAGATGGTTGAAAGAACAAGCATTTTAGAAGCTCAGTGATAACAAGGGAAATCAGTGATTGGGTCAATAAACCTTGGAGATACTGCAGGTGCTGTTCTTTGAAGGCTAGTTTTCCATGAAATGATTTGGACATTAATAGCAATGCACATTGCTGTCTTTGTAGAACAGTTAAAATGCCAAGTTTTTATTACACTGCCCATTCTTAAGCTTGGTGCCAGCACCTTTGAGTTGATTTAGAGCCATTCAATCAGATGTTATAAAAATATAAAATAACAATTTTCTTCTGATCAAAATGTCTAAATAGAATAAATTGTCCAATTTTTTTAAAAAGTATGTAATTTTGCAAATATATGGTGTTTCATGTACATTTTTTGCTTGCAGAATTTTTTTTTGTTCTGTGCATAATGCCAAAACTTAATTATCAATTACATATGCATAGCTTTGTATGATTTCTGGAGGTCTTTCTGTGAATTATCAAAGTTCAATTCATTTTGAAAAGTACAAAATGCCCCAGCTAATCAATAAGCACATTTTAGTTTCAGCATAAATGCTTGAATTAACTTGTTTTAAATAACTGAGATAATGATTTGTTTCCAGTGAGTGAATTCACTGATATATCAGCCAAAAATCCATTGAGATTTTGTGACACATATTCAATTTCAAGATGTTTGTTCCTGATGTACTGAAATCCAGAAAAAAGGTCTGATGATTGACATGATGATGTGTTGAATAATACAGAATTAAAAAATATCCATTTAATTTAAAGTTCAGTAAACTTTGTATTTTTGTATTCCAAAAGTAAAAAAGATAAGACCTTCTCATTTCAGGTGAATAGGAACAACAACAACTAACAAATTACATTTCTATAGCAGCTTTCACATTAGGAGGACATCCCAAGGTACTAAAACAAGAGGAGTTAATCCATTTAGCTTCTTAAGCCTGTTCCACCTGGCTTAGTTGGTAACACTCTCGACTCTGAATCAAAAGGTTGTCGTATTGTGTCCAGTAGAACTTGAACTCACATAGTCTAGCCTGACACTCCTAATCATTGCTGGGGTGGGGGGGGGTGGGGTTGCATTGTCGGAGGTGCCTTTACCTCTTATTATCTTTCCTTCACAAATGTCCGTCCATCCGTCCTTTAAAAAAACGTCTGTTCTTTAAGAAGCAGTTCAACATGCAAGCATTTGCCTTTTCACTTGTAAATTGCTATCAGGTTATTAAAGGAGCGTGGAGAGGAAGAACAATGTCATTTGCTTCATTTTTCTAAACTTTCCTTATCTTCCAAAGTTATGATACAACTTAGAGCCAAAATGTCACAGAAATGTACGACACAGAAGAGAAGAGGCCTTCCAGCCCATTGTGTCTATGCCAGCTCTCTTTAGAGCAATGCTTTCAGTCCCTACTTACCTGCCCTTTCACCATACTCCCGTAGCTGACTCTTTTTAACGATAGAACTTTAAAACGCAATGATTTTGACATGAAAACTACTCAGTATTCTATCAGGATATTCACAGCATAACTTACCTCAGAATGTACCTGATTAATATGGTGAATAGTGCAAAATAGTAGAAAACGTTAGATTTCAAACTGTGATAATTATCGCGTCACATTTTTCACCATGTTTCAAAATTGGAGCCAGTAATGTTATTTTCTTTCATTAAATAATGAACAGACTTCAGAAAATGCACAGGGATAGGGGATTTTTAGTGCCTCACAATACATACAGAGATTACTTACTTAATTTGCAATGATTTTTCAGTATGCTTTAGAACAGAAATGAGCAAAAGCATATTCTTGTATAAATCCTGATAGTAATTAACTATCCCTCAATTTCTTTGAAAAGATACGAAGATATTTTAAGAGAAGGCAGTCATTTAAACTTTAGTATAATGAGCAGTCAGGCACCTATTCCCTAAATGCATGGCTGTCAAAAGATTTTTCTGGCTCAGACTGATTGATTGCGGTCTTAAGAATTTTCTAATCCAGTACAATTCTTTTTTAAAAATATGCTAAACTTATACCTTAGAGCAAGCTTTTCATGACAGACAAGCTATTTTAAATATATCTAACATTTCAGTGTGAGACCTAATGGATCTGTAATGATCAATTGAGTAATAAGAAGTCAAATCACTGCTTGGAACTTCAAGTGTTTAATGCTGTGTTTATATTTCTTGGTGTGAATTTGCTTGTTCTTTGGCCATCCAATTCAATCCCTTGAGAACTTTCAAATGATCTTTCAACATTTATGAATGTTGCATTTACAACATTTACACTACACCCCAAAACACAAAAAAAGGTGATGTAAGGTGCAAGGCTCCAGCAGAATTCACATGCAGTGATTAATATTAAATCTATCAACAGTTTGTCACAGGGCCATACAGACCTTTCAAAGCATACATTGCAAACAAATCAGATAACATTTCAATGCACTAGGGACAGTACCCCATATATTACTAGGTCATTTTTTGTTAGTTTATTCAAAAATAAAATGCTCTTCCTGCATTCTGAACAAAAAGTGGGCTGTAGAAATATTTAACTTGTGACTTTGCCTTTTTGCTGAGCATTTGTTCTTCCATGTTGAATTTGAGGTTGCAGGAGGTCACTTTGGACAGTTTGAACTCTTTAGCTGTGTTGCGTAACACAGAGGTTTAGCTCGTAAAACAAAACATTTTTGTATTAACTGTTCTGTTTGCTAACTCTTTCGTTCATTGCTTATAATGGAATTTCCAAAGAGAAGAATGAAGATATTTAATGAACAGTACATGTTGTCATCCTATTCAGAATGTGCTCTAATAAGGGAAAGCCATTTTGAAAAATTTAGCAAAAGGTTTGCCAACTGAGCACACTTGTTTAAAAATCCCAAGGAGTTATTGAACAGCAGCCTTTTTTTTAAATAGGGTAGAAATATTTTTTAATTATATACAAAAAAAACTCTTAAGAAGTTCCTAAATAGCTTTAATTTTTAACAGTTGAGAGATATGTTTTCATTAAGATCAACAAAGTTGAGGTCTGTCTCTTTTACACTGGTTTTATAACAGGATCAGGCAGAATTCTACCCTATGGTGGGCAGTAGGCCAATAACCCGACAACAGACAGCTAATTGGAAAATTGTTTAAAAATGAAGGTAATTTACAACAACAACAAAATTACATTTATAGAGCGCCTTTAATTAAAAATGTGACTGGAGAAAGCCTGATACTGATTTGGTATTGAAGACAAAGAAAGCATACACTTGTAGCAGAACTGAACCATTCCATTTTACAATGAATGTCACTGTAACTTTGTTTTTGGCAGAAGAAATAAGCACTGGAACCCAAGTGTATCATTTAATAGATTTATTTATGTTGTACATTAATGTTTATATGTCAGTGTTATGTTAAACAATGTACATGTACCCTTTGGGGAAATAAATTGGCATTTTAATATTGTACTTCGTGAAGATAGATTAAAGGAATGTTCAATACCGTGTTTCATTTGTCATTGGGTGTTCATTTTAATATGTACAAAGTTCAAACTGATAGCAGATTCTCAGGATAAACTAGAACAACACTTTCGAATTACATTTGATCTTTCACATGTAAATAAGAAAGTTGCAAAATTTTACTTTAGGTTTCTATTAGTTTCTTTTAGTAAAGCAGGTTTTTACACACTGAATTCATTGCTGTTTGTAATGAGTGCCACAACAGTGAGCTAAATCACCTTAGCCACACATCTCTGTGCTATTTACTTTTATACGTTCATGCTTTGTAATGCTGTTAATAACTAATATTATAGCAATAAAGCTATTCAAATACTAGGCCAGGAGTAGCTGTATTACTGCAATGTATATATTTTAAATATGGTCACTCAATCCACGACTGTTTGTGGGACACTGATGTGCGCAATTGCTGCCGCATTTCGTCCACAAAATATGCAGTCCATTCACTTTACAGTATATTCTGTAAAGAGCTTTGAGACGTCTAAAGGACGTGATAAGGCGCCCTATCAAATAATCAAGGATTATTATTATTATAAACTACCTAAGCATTTAAAATAAAGCAATTAAAATAAGTACTTTGGAATATCCACCCAACCTGAAAGGCACTATATTGAATCCAAGGATTATCATTATTTCAAGTAAAAAATAAAAAAAACACATCTTAATTCATTTTGTCATATCCTTATCCCCATTCTACCTTCTATACTTAATTTTCTTTTTTTTTAGTTTTTCTAACACATTTTAGTTTCCTTTGTATTTTCCAGCCATTTTCTAAATGTAGTAATGTTTTATTTTCTTCTTCATAGAATCATAGAAATATACAACGCAGAAGGAGGCTGTTCATCCCATTGATTCTGCATCTGGTCTCAGAGCAAGCCATCCATCCAATCCCATTACCCTGCCCTATCTTGGTCAGAGAGGTCTGAACCACCAGGCATCACACAGGGCTCACACACTGGATACTTGATGAGAAAATGCAGCTATGATCCAGGCTTAACACTAATAACAATTTATATGCAATCCTTCCTGCAAAGTCCAATTGTTTTTGAAGCTCATACCACTGGAGATAAAAAAAATAATAAATATGTGTATCTTGTGCCGATCGCTAAAAATAGCAATCTTTTCATTAGGTCTTTACAATGGGAAATCTCTTAAAATGACATCATGAAAAAACTGTTGCTTTCAGTGTAAGAGATCCCAACTTGTTAAATCCCAAAGTCATACGTGGGATTTCTGTTGATCTGCCAATCAGTGAAATCTACACCAATCCTGATATAATTTTAATTTAAACATTTAATCTTCTTTGTTGCTGTTACTGATCTGTTAACAACTTGCTCTGTTCTATGTTACTCTCTGTGTTGTGTAACCTCATCAATAGGATGGAGGAAATCTGGTCCAGGTGCTTGAATTCCTCGCAACTTCCAGTGCTCGGAATGCCGCTGACTGCAGCTTCCTCAGATGGCCTGGAGCCAGAAGCTTCACTGCTTTGTTCCCTTGACATCAAATCTGTCAGATCCAGTGAATGGGTCATTTCAACTATGAGAGGTCTCACACCTACCCCCACCCCCTGAAGCAACTCCTAATGTAGTCACTCAAGGAAATGAGCACCAGATCCTCAAACTGTGGCAAAGAGAACCATGTGAAAGAAAAGGAAGAATTTGCATTTCATAGTACCTCAGATGTCAAAACAGTTCAACAGTATAAACTGTTTAGAAGGATTTTGAAAGCAGCGAGGGAGTGTGTGAGGTGAAGCAATTTAAGAAGAGAGATCCAGAGAGAAGTAAATGGCGGAAAGCTCACCCACTAATGGTTGGTCAGAGGAAGGGGATGTGAGTTAGCAGAGTGGAAGGGGTGGATAGGTGAGTAGAACTGCAGGAGTTCACTGAGGTAGGGTGGGACAAGGGATGTGTGTTTTTGAAAGTTAGACTGAGGATCTTGAAATCAATAGGAAATCGGTGGAGCCTGGTGAGGAAAGAGACAAAGGGCTTGCATGCTTAGTAATGGAAAAGGTACAGGCTGTGGAGTTCTGGATAAACTGGAGCTAGGAAGGCCAGCAAGAAAGGCTTTGGAGAAATCCAAATAAATGTGATCAACGCATGGAAGTTAGCTTTGACTCCATTGAGTTAAGAGGTGAGTTAAGGTTGAACGCAGATGATGTTGCAGAGGTGGACCAAAGTGAACTTAGTCAAAGGTTGTAAGGAGAGCTGAAGATCAAAGCAAACATCAAGATTGTACACAGGCTCTGTGAGCTGGGATGAACAGTCGGGAAGCTACAAGAGGAGGCCGAGCAGGAAGGCTTTGGTTTGTTGACATTCAGTTGAATGTCTTACCACTTACTTTCACAGATTTTTCGTACCAGATTCATTTCAGAATGTTTAACATCTTCATAGGACCACAAAGAAATCATGGACTTTGGGTTTCCTGCAATTCTAAGCAGTGAGGCTGATTGAGCATTCCCCACTCCTACTGCTATTATTATGATACCATTTTGTCTCAAGTGTTCAGCACCGGCCAAAGCGTTGTCTGTGCTCTGACCATTCGTGATTAATACAACAACCTTCTGAACTCCTGGCCTCACTCCCCTCTGGATGCTCAGAGTATCCTCCAAGATATATTGTAGAGCCTTCCCAGTGAGAGCATTCCCATGCAGGAATGGGGCTGAATTGATCGCTCTTTTCATTTTTCCTTCACTGTCAAAGGCATCCAAGTTAAAGAGGGTTCGGGGTTTGTCACTGTAGATCACCATCCCAACCTGCGTAAGTTCTCTGTCAATATCAAAATGGGATATCACATTCCTCACAAAGCCTTTTATGTAACGGAAATTCTGTCTTCCAACATTGTTCGAAGCATCCACAGCAAATACCAAATCCAAAGATTTGGAAAAGCATCCTGTTAAACAGTGACGAAACAGCATTAATTAACTAATTGGTGCTATACTGTCCACTGTACACAAATTATATAAAGTAGGTTTTGCATTTGCCCTCATTTGCATTATTATCACAAATGGTCATCAATGTGAGATGCAGACGATCTGTGTTAAAAATTGTCAAAGTGAGGAGAAAATCAAGTTGCAGGTGACACAGAAGAACAACTCTACACTATTGCTAGTTGCTCAGCTACACTCTATTCAACCATCAACATATTTAGTCACATTTTCAATGGCCAGATAGAAGTGGTTGTTGTTAAAGTTGTACTAACTGCAGTGTCCGTAGAATAAAATGGGCTTCATCACATTTGGGCTACAAATAGATGCAATTCTTCACTCCCCCTCCACCCCACCCCTTTTCACACCAGCACATTCTCCATTAACTGTGAATGAGGGGAATTCCAGAACTGTATGTTCTCGCTGGTGTGTTTTAATACATCACTGTAATACAGTTGTTTACAGAGGATATAACTGATAGAGGAATCACTGAGAGCCAATGTATTTAATACAAAGAAGGCATTTTAATTTTTTGCAAAGCACTGATGTAGAGTCATAGACTCTTACAGCACAGAAAGAGCCCATTCTTCTACCTATCGTGCCTGTGCTGGCTCTTTGAAAGAGCTATCAAATTAGTCCCACTCCAGCGCTCTTACTCCATAGACTTGCAAATATTTCCTTTTCAAGTAAATATGTATTATAAAGTCTCCATACAGCCTGCTAACAGACTAATCAGCCTTAACCAGCAAAGAATAAGCATCATCAGTCTCACATTAGGGATCTATGCTGAAGAGCAAGATACTCAAATTAAATTAAAAACTTACCAGGTGTGTTCAATCCACATATTTTGTTCCTCAGCTCTAAAACCTTATTGTGCAGCTCCTGGGCTCCGTTAAAGGTAAAGGCCATCCTTGTGTCTCCAGCTATCTGGATTAGTTCATTTATCATACTGCTTATCCCAACAGAGAGGATCAATATTTCCCTCTCTTTGGCATACTGTGCTGGGAAGATCAGAGAGTCACGTGATTTAGAATTGGACAGCACCATGAGAACATGGGGAATACTGTTTCTGAAGCCGTCGCTGGTCTTGAAGCCATATTCAGCGACATACTGCAAAGCTCTTCCTGTGAAGGTGTTGCCTCCTTTGAAGCGAATCCAATCGATTGCTTTCAGCAAGTCACTGAAGGTGCTGTACTGTCCCATTCCAATCTCCATACGAACACTGTCACTGTATTGGGCGAACCCCACTGAGACCATGGCTGATGAAGCCATGATAGACTGAAGAAGGAGTTTAACAAAACCTTTTGCCTGATGGAATCCTTCGAGGCCCATATTCCATGATCCGTCCACCAAAAAGAGCAGATCGACAGTACAGTCCGTAATGGCAGCGGGTTCTGCATTTAGCACATAAATACATAGGTTAATGAGATCAAGTCAATGCTACACTCTCTGCAATGGCACATTCCACTGAATCAATTGTTTTATTTAGGTACTTACTCAGGTATTTGTTTCCAGCTGTGTGATAAAACAAAGATATGTTATCAGCAAAGAAAAGTGTTTCATGAATCTTATACTACTGTTCTTTGTGTGGATTTCATATGAAGATAAACTCTCTCCACTAGTGGTGCGTAACAAATACACATCCACTTACATTTTTAACAGTTCACTGCACACCCAAAGCATGTCCCAGGCTCCACATCAAAACACATTTCTTACGCTTGGTTCACAATACACATATTCCAATGTGAATGTAAGCCAGTTAAAATATCCAAAGGTTCAGATCTTCATTATAGATATACAACAACAAATTACACTTGTATAGCACCCTTCACGGCGGGAAAACATCCCAGGGCACTGGACAATCAGGGATTTTGGACGCAAACTGAGAGTTGGGGTCAGTAGGGGTGGAGGGCAGGGGGAGTGGAAGAGTGACCAAAGGCATGGTCGAAGAGGAAGGTCTTTAGGTGGGACTTGAAGGAGGGAAGAATGGTTTTGAGGCAGAGGGATTGCAGGATAGAGTTCCAGAGTGTGGGGGCAGAGATGCTGAATGCCTGACCGCCATTGATATATATTATATCCTACATAGCTGTAATGTCACCACAGCATAACTGTGTGAAATAATAACAATAATATTCTTCCATTTTAAAGAGCATCTCTCAGGTCAGGAGGATGTCTGAAAGTGCGTCACAACATATTCTGTAAAGTGTAGAGACTGTATATTTAAGGATAGCAGCCAATTTGCACAGAGCAATGTTCCAGAAACAGCCATGAATAACTGATATTATCTGGGGGATTGCTGGCAGGAAGACTGGGAGAAACACCCTTCTCTTTTTGAATCATGACGTGGGATCTTTAACATCCACCTGGGCAGGCAGACAGGACCTCATTCAAAGGATGCCCGCACCAGCAGCACTGCATTCGAGTGTCAGCCTAGACTTTATGAGTTTAAAGTCCTGACGTAGGGCTTCAACCAATGCCCTTCTGATTCAGAGGCAAGAGGGCAAACAGGCTGACCACTAAATGGTATGATATAGTGATGCAAAAATAAGATTAACATCAAGCATCAATTAAATCACAAACCCTAACCCAAATTAATAGTTAAAAGTTGCTGAATTAAACTATTTGGGATTTACAACAACAACAACAAAATTACACTTGTATATCACTTTTCACGTTGGGAGGAAGTCCCAAGGTGCTGTTCTAAGTATTCTTCACAGCTACAGGTTGAGTTATGTCTGTCCTAATAATACATGTGGAGTCCTGTTGCAAGTGAGAAGACCTGAGTTTGAGTCCCAGGCAGGATGATACGTTGAGCAAGTTTCCTTACTCTATACGCCTTGTTTACATAACAGTAACTAGGAACCCGGTTGTTAGTCGATTGCCGGATTATTTTTCCGGTGGTAATAATCTCTCCAAAAAAATAATAATAATAAAATAATAATCATTTGGTCACTCAATCCACGACTGTTTGTGGGACACTGTTGTATGCAATTGGCTGCCGTGTTTCGCCCACAAAAATACAGTCAATTCACTTTAGAGTATATGCTGTGAAGCGCTTTGAGACTTTTCTAAGACATGATTATTATTTATTATTTAATCGTGGAGTCCTGTAGCTCAGTGGTTAGAGAACTCGCTTTGCAAGCGAGAGACCTGGGTTCGATTCCCGCCAGGGTGAAACCTTGGGCAAGTTTCCTTACTCCACACGCCTGATAATAATCCCTCAAGAAAAAAATAATAAATTGGTCACTTCAATCCACGAATGTTGTGCGCAATTGGCTGCCGCATTTTGCCCACAAATAAATTCACTTTACAGTCTATTCTGTGAAGTGCTTTGAGACGTTTAGAAGACGTGAAAAACACTATATCAAATGCAAGGATTATTATTATTATTATTTATTATTGCAGCAAATAGGCTCAGTAAAAAACGTCATTCCAAGTTTTCTGCCATTTGCATACCAGGTCAATATTTAAAAATATTTGGAGAAGCCTTGTGATGAAATGCAGATGTGAGGGAGAAGGGAGGGACTAGAGAGATACGGGAGAGGTGATTAAGAGGGGTGTATGCTCATTTGGAGTATAAACACAGATATGGACTAGTTAGATAAAATATTTCCATGCTGTAACATTTTATGTGTATCTATGTCAACCCACAACTGGGTAGTAATCAGGATTCTGACTTATTCTGAAGTTGCTGGGAACACTCTGCAGGTCAGGCAGCATCTATGGAGAGGAAAATGAGTTAACATTTCAGGTCAATGATTCATTTTCCTCTCTCCATAGATGCTGTCTGACCTGCTGAGAGTTCCCAGTGACTTTCTGTTTTTATTTCAGATTTCCAGCATCTGCAGTATTGTGCCTTTTTTCTGACTTCTGAGTTTAACTTTAGTTGAAATGAAACTAGTGGAAACCTGGTGTATTGTGTCACTCTGAGGAAGAGAAACATTGGGAAGTCATAGACCTTATTGGAAACAGACCCACCACAGTTTTTATCCCCCCCATACCCAAGGGGACACAAGCAGCTGTACTCATCTACAGTCTCCATGATGCAGGTACCACCATTCAGACATGGGCCTGAATCACAGGGATCTGCAATAGCAAACACAAGCAAAATCATGTTGTCATATCTGTGGAACTACTGTGACAGGAAAGACAACCAATTCAACAACAACAGCAGCAACAAAATGACATGTATTTAGCGCATTCCAAGTCAGCAGGACGTCCCAAGGTGCTGGATAGTCAGCGTTTCGGACCCGAGCTGGGGATTGGGGAGGGTGGAGGGCAGGGGGGGGAAGCAGGGTGACCAAAAGCATGGTTGAAGAGGAGGGTCTTGAGGTGGGTCTTGGGGAGGCAAGGGAGGGGGCAAGGCAGAGGGACTGCGGCATGGAGTTCCAAAGGGTAGGGGCAGAGTGGCAGAAGGTCTGCTCACCAATGGTGGGGCAGGCGAGGTGGCGGACATGAAGCAGGCCGGAGCCCGCTGAGCAGAGGGAGCGGGCAGAATGGTAGGGGGTTAGGAAGTCACAGAGATAGGGGGTAACAAGGCCATGGAGGGCTTTGAAGGTGAGGACCAGGATCTCGGACTGTATCCTCTGTGTGATGGGAAGCCAGTGGAGTCGGGCGAGGGTGGGGGTGATAGGGTCATGAAGCCTTGTGCGGGAGAGGACATGGGCTGCACAATTCTGGATGGAGGGAGGAGTTGGGGAGATCGACAAGCAAGGAGTTTGCATTGTCAAACCTCAATGTTATGAATGTGTGGTTTCGACAGCCTGCGGTATGAGACAGTGGCTAAGCCAGGCAATGTTGCGGAGGTGGGGGAAGGCAAAGCAGGTCATGGCACGGATGTGGAGCAGAAAGGATAATTTCATCTTAACTCTAACCCCAACTGTAAATTCAACCCATTCACCAGAAATAATATACCAAATATTTGGTGGCCTCAGATCATTATTAATTTGGGGTAGTAATGAAGTGTCCTTGTTAACTTGGTTTATATTATTTCTTCATCCAAGTTCACTCCAAATTTGAATTTCTTGGCCTTTTGTCCTACTGCTTGTGGTATGCTGTTCCATGGATTAGCTGTTTATCTACAATAGTAACTCACTTCTGCAAAGCAATTCAAGACATTTCTTTTACAGGAAAGCAGCTGTATAAATATAACTTGTTATTATTTCTTTCTTGCTTCTTTTGCTTTGTTCTTTCTGCTTGTTTCTCTTTGCTGTAGGGGACAGCTGTGTGTCTCTTGCCTCTGAAAGACCAAGTGCTGAGAGTTTCCATCTCTGACTGTGGGGGAAGCACCTTGCCTCCACTTTGGACCACTTCCATGATTTTCCAGCTGAGGTTAGTAACTCAAAGCTGAGGTCCAAATTGCACTATGGTGAATCAAACTTAATATCTGTTTGATACCTGCTCCTTGCTGTGAGGAAGAGCCTCACAATATGACAATGAAGTTGAAGAAGGTAGTAACAACAACAACAAATTACATTTGTGTAGCGCTTTTCATGCCGGGAGGACGGCCAAGCACTTTTATACTATGGTATATATTGCAAGATTCACAAATGGATTAGCAAATAGAGAATCCTGGATATCTCGCAGTAGACCCTCTGCAACCCTGGTTCATGCAATTCAGCATGATCAGCTGTTGAGCACAGTTCCAGATGGATAGCTGTAACCCAGAATTTGCTATTTATAAATCCTTTTTGCAAACTAACAATTTATAACCTTTTTCCTTCAATTTCATTGTCTCATAATGATGAGGATCTTCCTCACAGAAATGAGCATGTATTACCCTGGGCCACTGTGCTATATTACGGTAGCAAGTTACAGAGCAAGATAATCGGGGAGTGGCGTGTAGCAAGAATAGACCTAAAAGCAGGAAGGGGAGCTAGTGCAAAATAGCTTAGGAAAAACCTTGCCATAGGGAAAATATAGGTAAAAATTGATACGCAGAACATGCATTTACCTGGGCAGACAGTGCGGTGGCATCGGTTTTGAATCCTATGAAATACCCTTTTCCAACTAGAAAGATTGAAAAATTCCAATTATTAATATTAGGACCGCTCTCCTTGATCAGCTATTTAAAATAATCCTGACTATGCAATACAGTGACAAATGTGCAGATCACCAGGTATATTATTTCATATATATATATATTAATATAGAGATCTGTAATTGTTTTGTGAAAATACTGAATTGTCTACCCACAGGGTGTGAAATAGCCTTGCAGAAATGAAGCATTACATTTTCCACCCTATAATAATCCAACAACAACAACAACAACATTACATTTATAGAGCACCTTTCACGTCGGGAGGACGTCCCAAAGTGTTGAACAGTCAGGTGTCGGGGCCCGAGCATGGGCTGCAGAGTTTTGGATGATCTGCAGCTTGTGAAGGGAAGAGTTGGGAAGGCCGATGAGGAGAGAGTTCCCATAATGAAGCCTTGAGATGACGAATGCGTGGGTGAGGGTTTCGGGAGCCGGGTGGGGGGGGTTGAGGCAGTGGCGGAGGCTGGCAATATTGTGGAGGTGGTGGTAGGCAGTGCCGGTCATGGTGAGGATGTGGGAGAGAAAGGACAGTTCAGGGTCAAACAAGATACCCAGATTCCTGACTGGCTTAGTGAGGTTGAGTGTACAGCCGTGGAGGCTGATGCTGCCAGCGCCTGAGGTGCGGAGGCAATGGCCAAGCCAATCAGGAGGGCCTCGGTCTTGCTGACGTTGAGTTGGAGAAAGTTGGCCCTCGTCCAGGACTTGATGTTGGACAGGCAGTCGGTCAGGACGCCAGTAGTCCTGGAGTTGAGGGTGGGGGCAGAGAGATAGAGTTGGGTGTCATCTGCATACATGCGTAAATTTACCCCATGTCTGCGGAGGACATCACCAAGGGGGAGCATGTAGACGGTGAAGAGGAGAGGACCGAAGATAGAGCCCTGAGGTACACCACACGAGACAGTGAGGGGGCTGGAGGAGAAGCCGTTTGCTACAACAAAGTGGTAGGAGCTGAATCAGTCAAGGACAGAACCTTGAAGTTTGAGGTGGGAGGAGAGGCGGCGGAGGAGGATTGAGTGGTCCACGGTGTCAAAGGCGATGGAGAGGTCGAGGAGGACGAGGAGGCAGAGGGAGCCCTGGTCACACATGGTCAGGATGTCGTTTGTGATCTTGACCAGAGCAGTTTCCGTGCTGTGGGCAGCACCCTAACCTGATAGGAGGGGTTCATGTAGGAAGTGAGAGGAGCGGAAAGAGCGAAGCTGGGAGGCAACAGCTCTCTCAAGGACCTTGGATAGGAAGGAGAGCTTTGAGATGGGCCGGTAGCTGGATAGCTGTGATTGGTCGAGGGAAGGTTTCTTTAAGGTGGGGGTGATAGTGGCTGTTTTGAGGGGGAAGGAACAGTGCCAGATGACAGGGAGAGGTTAATGATGTCGGCGAGTAGTGGGGCAAGGAGGCGGAGCTGGGATTTAAGGAGAGGGGTGGGGATCAGGTTGAGGGAGCAGGTGGTGGACTTCATGGAGGTTACTGTGTTGAAGCAGAGGAGGGAGTGACAGGTTCAAAGGTGTGGAAGGAGGGATGGGTAATTGTCGGATGGGTAATTGTGTGGGGTGGGAGTAGGGAGGGGTTGGAAGTTGGGAGGGCAGTAGCAGCTGAGTGGATTCCCTTGATTTTCGACTCAAAGAAGTCCAGCATTTTCTCGCAGTGGGAGTCAGAGGAAAGTATCTGTGAGGCGTGTCGGGGAGGGCGGAGGAGCTGGTTAATCGAGAACAGGAGCCTGGGATTGCCTTTCACCTCTAGCATTAACCTGGAATAGAAGGATGATTTGGCTGAGGCGAGAGCGGAGCGATAGGTTTTGATGATGTCCAGCCAGATGTGGCGGTGGACTGTTAGGCCGGATTTGAGTCAAGTGCGTTCGGCAGCCCACACCTGTCCCTTAAGCGAGCGGAGGTGGCTGGTGAACTAGCGTGAGGATCGGGAATAGGAGGCAGTTGAGGGGGGCAAGGACGTCGAGTGCGGTGGAGAGGGTGCGGTGGAGAAGAGTGAGTGCAGCGAGCGGGTTGCTGTGAGAGGGGGAGGAGATCAGAGGACTCCAGGGCAGCGGAGAGGGATTGCGGGGAAATCTTCTTCCACGGGCGGTAGAAGATGGTAGTAGGTTTGGAGGCAGCGGGGAGAGGGATATGGGAGTTGAGGGAGATGAAATGGTGGTCAGAGATGGCCTTGTCAGTGATGGTGACATCCGAGACGCTGAGGCCCCAGGTGATCACCAGGTCATTAACAAGCAGAGAAGTAAGTAACAGAAACTCTGTTTATAAGAACATATGATGGCATGGAATAAAAAAGGCAATTCAGCCCATCAACCTCACTCATTCCACTGAGTATGAAAAACTTATCCTGTTATTTGTTCCACTTCATCCATTCCACTCACTGGGTGAAAGCTCAATACTCCTTGATCAGCAATGGGAATGAAGCAAAAACTCCAGAATACTTAAATTCTTAAATATCCCCAATTCCACTATTCAAATCTATCCAGGTATCCTGCATGCAACATTCCTCCGCTCCAGGCCAAAAAACTGACCCAGCAGGTCTGAGGACCTCTGAAGACCATTCATAAAATCACAAGCAAGATCTGATGATAAAGGCCCTTACTTGATCTGATTTATCCCAAATGTTTTTCCATCATCAAGCTGCTTTTTAAACAATTCCAATGTCCTAGGCTCGATTGCTCTTCCTGGTAACCCATTCCAGCTGTTTAGAGTCTTCTATGTAAAAAATGCTCTTTTGTTCTAAAATTACTCTTCAAAAACCTCAACCTGTGTCCTTTGTTCCTACTTCCTTGGCATATTTGCAAGTATTGCTCAGGGTTTACTTTCTCCATCACATTTAACACTGTATGCACCTCAGAAAGTACAAGTGAAATGTACAAGTTCAATGCCCTCCTAAAACTGGAGCTTTTCTTAAAATGTCTTTAAAAACTCATTTAAAATATTCAGGCTTTCTGTCTTTATGGATTTTTTTGTCCAAATGTGCTAGATATATTTGAAATTGCCTTCATTCTGCAGCGTCCCTATCAGGAATAAAATCAAATCAAAATAACTAATGCGCAAACTAGGTTTACACATTGTCATCAAGAGCTGTAGACACCAACTTGTAAAATGGACAGAATGTAGCCATGGGTTTTCCATGCTGCTTGCCACCATCCTTTTTGCTTTTCCAACAAACATGCTTCCCATGATATTCTTTTTCTGCGTCCACTGTTGTTCTCAGGCAAAACTGTGACACCACCCTGCAGGCTGTATAAACCAGAGAAAATTGTAACTGAACTATCCTTGTACTTGTTATGCACTTCAATGCAGAATAGAAGTAAATCGAAAAAAAATGACAGCAGTGCTGAAACAAGGATTCATGCATTTCAAGAGGCTTCTCATTCCGAGTGGGGTTAAGTGTAACCAAAAGTGATTGCGTCATGAAATTAAGGTTTTGTTGGATTGGATGGTATAGTGGACAAGCACATTTATATTTCATCTCCGGTATCTGTTTCTATTGTCTGATGGAATTAAGTTCTCCTTCAATTTGTTGTCTATAAGTATTTTTTAAATAAAATTGTTTGCAGCAGTCTCAACCTATTTTTTCATTGGTTTGAGCAAAAGCCTGTGCCTAGATTAGCAATCTGATTTATGAAGGTCACAGGACACAAAACTATAACAACCACTTGCACTTGTACAGTACTTTTCATGTAGGATGAATGTCTCAAACTACTTGCTAGATAAGTGATCCGACAGAGATTTATTGGCCACAGGCAAAGTTAAAGAGATATGTTTTTAAGATGATTTTAAAGGCAGTGGGTCAGGAAGCAAGTTTTTTGTTGTGAAAATGTAGGAGAAAGTTATTGGCCACAGGCAAGATTAAAGAGATATGTTTTAAGATGGGTTTAAAGGCAATGGGACAGGAAGCAAGGCTTTTTGATGTGAAAATGTAGGAGAAAAATTGGACGAGGAGACATAGTGGCTGAAAGCTTGGTGGCTGCTCGTGGAACAGAAGGACTGAGGAGTGATAATAAAGCACAATTTGAAAAGTGGTAAGACAGGCAGAATAATAGTGTGAAAGAAATGACATCAGAATGGAGGGATTTGAAAGTCTATAATCTTAAAATCAATCCAATTGGAAGTCAATGGAGCTTGGCAGTGATGGGAACTATCATACACCAAATGCTAAAAATAACCATTTTTTCATTTTATGTTTACAATATGACACTCAAAGTGAGAAAATGTCTTAATATCCCTCGATGAGCATCCAACCTTACTTAAAGGAAAACACTTCAACTTCTATATTGACCCCTATATATGGGCAAGCAAGTTCTTTCCAAAATACAATATATATATGTGTTTGCATGAGGAATGGACATATCATACATGGACATTACTGGAGTTTGCTGTCTTGAAGCTCTAGAGATCTATGTTGCCTACCTGGGTGGATGTCAGAACAGACTGTAGACTGAGTCAGTGTAGTGAACAGACCATTGATTGCATCGTCATAGTTTTCCGCATAGAACACATGTAATTCACTGGGATTGCTGGCTAAACTTTTCAGATCTTCCCACCTACAAACAGCGCAACAGTGAGTCAGAGAAAGACTCATCAGCTTTACCGAAGAATACAATCAGCATCACAGAGATCACTAAACACAGTAAAACACTTACGATGGATGCTTAATCCCAACAGCAAATACGGTCATTCCACTGTTCCTGGCCAACCTCAATGGAAGTGTTGCATTGTCTTGAGATTTACCGTCGGTGAGAATCACAATTATTTTCGGTGCACTTTCCCGTGCTCCGTGAAACCCTTTACGTAAGACGTACTTCATTGCTCTACCAATTTCAGTACTTCCACCCCTATGTGAAACATGGAGAGGGGGCAAGAGAGGAATGAGTTAATGCTTTTGAGTGAGATGATGCAATGAGATACAAAATGACAGTTGCACATTCCAGAAAAATATCTCTTGTGTATGTCAAGAGTTTCATCTAAATCGGTCAGACATGCCTGAAGATAATTCTTTTGATAGCTTCTTTTGCTTCCTCTTTTGTCGAGTAGATCTCCAACCCAAACTCTAGTTTAGGTTTTGTACTGAACTGGATCACTCCTATACGCACCTGTTCAAAAGACCATAAGATGTTTATAATGGCACAATATTGAGCAATAACAATTGGGAAATGGGCAGATGCTACAGCATCAGTTTAGAATAACAGATTACATCAACAATTAAATAGACTGACCGGCATCATTTGTATGCTAAATGTGCTCAAACTTGAGTGTTTTCCGACTTGTTAATAATAATCCTTTCATTTGATATAACGCCTTATCACGTCGTTGAGACATCTCAAAGCTCATCATTAATATACTGTGAAATGTAGTGACTGTGTATCTTGTGGGTAAAACACGGCAGCCAATGTACACAGCAGTGTCCCACAAATAGCTATGGATTGAGTGACCAAATTGTTGACAGTTCGTTACCTGAAACTAACCCCAAATCGTACAATTCATAAAATACGATCATTAGATCCACGTAAAGACAAACATAAACTTGCAAATTGATATTTTCCACAGACTATACTAATTAATGGTGAGTGTCAGATTTAAGATACAATATACATTACCATAATCTAACTAACTGAATGCATTGGAACATGGAATGTATAGGACTAGAAACGACTATTGTAGTTCATCCTGCTCATCCCAACATTTGAAAACCTGCTGACTTGATACTTCACAAGAGTAACATTTGCAAATTGTATTGATACCTCTGTTGAGGAGCTGCTCATACACCAAGGTCAAGCAAGGTGAAATCCAGTTAAACTTCGATTCTTGATTAAATGAGATTTGAGGATAAGAGGACATGAATTCAAGATTGTGGCGAAAGGAGTAGTAAAGGTTTGGAAGGTTGTCTTCCAGAGGATTACTTGGGCATGGAATGCTTAGCCAAGGGTAGTTGTTAGCGTTTGTTAGCACATTTAAAAAAGATTAGAGGATATGGATTTGAAAGTCCTGTCACAACAGGGAGCCTTCAAATGTGGCTCAAGTTGATAGGATGAAAGACTTCTTTCTTCTGACTGTAAAGTTTCTGTGTGAACTGCCTTTTGAGTTTGTGTTGCACATCAGTTCATGGAATAAAATTAATAAGGTGGCACTAAATTTATAATCTGGTTAGAAAAACCATTGGTATCGGTAATATGAAACAATATAACATTATTGCAGTAAGGCATTTTCTTGTAAGACTGGAATCACATTGTTCAGTGTAGTTTAGAAGCAGTTTGAATGTATGTAAACTACACAACACCTAACTACAACATGTTTGTCGATGACATCAATGGGAAAATTGGTCCATTTCTCAATATTGTCATTTCTTAGGATGATAAAAAAAAGCCCAATTTGAAATGATTGCTTTAAATTCAGTCATCCATGATAAATTTATAGCGTTTGCCATAATATCACAGATTGGGGGAGAGGGGATGGGGTGGGCGGTGAAAACAGCCTAACTCAGTCTTAGTCCACCTGAAATTAGCATATCAGAGTACTTCAACAATTTACGCATATAGGACGTAAGAATAGGAGGCACATGCGCTCTCTGGATGGGATAGAACTTGCCAGGGGTTGAAGCTGAAAGAGATCTAGGGGTGTTACTTGATTTGGGATTGTTCTTTTCCATTAAATGTGACTCACACAATTGAAGCTGTCCTGGAAAAATAATCAATACAAAGCACACAATAATCAGCAAATTGTAAAGTTTGAATTGACTTGTCATTTTAAAACTCACAAAAAGATCTCAATGTCTACATGCTACTATTTTTCCTGTATTCCATGCTAGACTCTTTGTTGTCAAAAAAGGGAGCTGACAAAGTCTGTGAGGCTACAAAAGAATTGTTCTCACATTCCAGATACACACCCAGTACTGGTGGGAGAGGGGTAAGTGAAGGAGAGATAAATCTGCCAGTGTCTTGGTTCTTGATACCTATGGGACGTATGTGATTGTGCAGGGGGTCACTGTCGCTTTTTAAGCATAAATAACTTGTTTACTTCCGGGTTTTACAATAAAATATAATGTAACAAAAGCTGAAGTTGCTGGAAATACTCCAGTTATAATGTAACTGGAGTTCTGTCAGAATAATTATGACTTGTTATTGGTTCTAAAGGTTAACTGAGTCTCTTGAGCTTTCACTTTACAGATGCACTAAGATTGCACTACTAGGCTGCAAACAATAAGTGGCAGTTTAATTTACCACAAACATATTGACGGTCAGTGGACCTTATCAAATAAAGTAAATCATCAGCATAGATGCACTTTTATTTTCCCATATCTGATATGAGTCATTTCAATACAAATTTTAAAACTAACTTTATTGTATTAATTTTCTGCAGATAGACCTCTTACCCTGTCAGGATTAATGTCGAGAATATCACACAACTTGGTGGCAAAACGTTTTGATCTTTCGAAGCTTCCTTTGCCAATGCTATAGGATCCATCCATCAGCAATAAGACATCAATAGCTTCTGAGCATTGAATTACTAAAAGAAAATAGGAAAGATACAATTTAAATTTAGAAGAGTCAATTCGTCATGCAATTTTGATAGTTGTACATTAAAGACTGACATATCCATTTGAATTTATCCATAATTTCAAACCAAACTTGGCGGATTAATGCTGCTCTTACAAGCAAAATTTTAGGTACATAGGAATGGACAAGATCAGAAAATACTATTATGATCCATCTAACTAGTTCCAATAAAGAAATCAATCATACAATACTCTATCTCTCATCCCCTGCAATTGATTCTTCACCAAATACATATCTAATTTCCTTTTGAATTTGCTGACACAATATGTCTTTCTGAATAGTTCAATTTAAATATTCATCACTCTGTGGAAAGAGATTGCATTGAATTATCTGTTCACTTGCCTTCTTTGGGGACGTTGCTCTATCAGACACAGAAAAAACATCATTATTGTCACATTGCAAGGAATGAAATTATAGATTTTGTATGTACTGATGCAATTTACATCACCAGGATATGATGCTTGTCAATTAGTGAACAACAAGAGCAATCCATTTTTAGGGTTACACCCTTATCTTTACTATAAGTATAGAAGTACCTCATAGGTATTTTATATATTTTACATTGTTGGCTTTAAATGCAATCAAACAGATAATTGCCTATCCATCTTACTGTGTTTCAACTGTCACATGGCTGGGATTCATTAGATATTGAATGCTTCAATCTATTTGTAATAAAGTAGAAGCTAGTCTGCTTGACTGGACTTATTTATGTACCTCCCAGGTGAGATTCACACTTAGCTTTTGTATTACACTAATCTGAAGTTTCAGAACAGTATGAAAATTCAACTTACACTTTCCTGAAGATAAAATCTTTACTATTGTCTCCTTGTCAGCCATTAGCTTCTGCATGGCACTTCCTGGGGAAACTGGTCATAGGGGGAAAAAAAATTATAGAGAATAAAGTTGCAGTTGAGATTCTGAATTTCTTTTATATTGAAATTTCAGGTTGGATTCAAATTTATTTTTGTGGAGTCCTGTAGCTCAGTGGTTAGAGCACTCGCTTTGCAAGCGAGAGACCTGAGTTCAATTCCAGGCAGGGCGAAACCTTGGGCAAGTTTCCTTACTCCACACTCCTAATAATAATCCCTCCAAAACCCAAAACAATAATAAATTGGTCATTTTCAATCTACGATTGTTTGTGGGACATTGCTGTGCGCAAATTGGCTGCCGCGTTCGGCCACAAATATACAGTCAATTCACTTTACAGTGTGTTCTGTGAAACGCTTTGGGACGTCCTCCCGACGTGAAAAGCGCTATATCAAATGCAAGGATTATTATTATTATTATTATTATTTTTATGCAAACAATTCTTACGGTAATTAGATGCACTAGGAAGACTTGTAACTTTACTGGGACACTGATGGGTTTTAATCTACTTCTAAAAAGGAGAGATTAGAATTTTTTTTACTATAGAGAGTTGTTGGGAATGTGGGATGCCCTGCAATAAAAGGGTTGTGGAGGCAGAGTCCACCGTGGGTTTCAAAAGGAAAGTAGATAGATCCTGTATATGAAAGTTACAGGTGAAAGGGTATGGGCAGAAGGCAGGGTGCAATAGGATTGAATGAATAGCTCCAAAGACCAGTGCACACTTGATGGGCTGAATGGCTTCTTTTTGTGCTGTAAATTTCTATGATTCTATAAATCCTCTTTATCAATTGGCCACATCATTTCAGCAAAGTTAAGCATCTGACTCCAGTGCTCCAATTTAACATTGCTTGGAATGCAGCAATGCAAACAGCATATACACTACATGAAAACTTATGAACAATTCCATGGTTCTTAACAGATTCTATTGTAAAATCTCACATTTTCACCCCAATATTACAATAATAACTTGTAATTTATTAGCACCAGCATAAATGTTTCAAAGTGTTTTGTAAACTATTAATGAGGTTAACGATAGAAGTGAATATAATACAGGCAAAGTATAGGCAAAGTTGTTATAAAGGACAACACTTCGTTAAATAATCATTAGGGTCCAATGTCTCAGGTCCCACACTTGTGTGTCAGCATAGCTCAGTTGGTAGCATTCACACTTCTGAGTGCACTGTGGTGGTTTTGGTGGTAGCACATATATCACCCCAAGAAGATAAACAGCGGCATCTGGTAGTAATGCAGATGTTGATGGCTTTATGTAACTTGTGGCTAACAATGCCAAACTGTAGTCAGGCTTCTGGAGTGGAAATTGTTCTTATGAGCTCCAGCAACTTGTCAGGATATTATATGTGACTAGCATTGGATCTGTCATGGAGAGTTTTATACTATCACTCAATACAAATAGAACCATTTTTTCAGCAGCAATCCTTCAACATAGAGAGCACGAACACACATTCTGAAAAAGGTTTTAGATTAATGATGGTTTGTAATAAAATTTCAATGACTACATACGCAGCACATCATAAAACAAATAGTTATCTGACAGTTTATTTCGAGAAAATGAAGTTGAAAAAATAATCCTACCTAAAACCATGAGTAAAAGCCCAAGACAGAAACTTTGACTGAGATGCATCATCTTGAAATGTATCTAATGGATAGATACAAAAATAAAACACAATAGATATTAATCAATACATGATGTTAGCTCAGCTCATCATCTTCCGCAATGGTTCAGTAATTCAATTTCCAATATCAATGTGAAACTGAATGGAGTAGGGGAACTTGCTCAATGTTTCACCCTGCCAGGAAATCAAACCCAGGTCTTCTTTTGGATGCAGAAACTCAAAAAGGAAAAATAAGGTTATATTGCAGCAATTGAATGAAATGTTATTTACAGCAAATATTGGTCAGAAATATTTTCAACAGCTTGCTTCATCTAGAAACCAAATTTTACAAATAATTTATCATCTTTGCATCTGGTGTGTTTGGTACTTTTGTGGGAAACATTTTCAAAGCAAATTAGCAACATGAATCCTATGGGTTCTGACTTTGTCAGTTAATGTTTCAATACTTACAAAAGAGTTGGGAAATTTACACAGTCACTACACTTTCCAGTAAAATCCTATGAAGTGCTGTGAGACATTTTGATGAAATGAAAACTTGCTATTTGAAATCCAAAGATTATTGTCGTTATGATGATGATGATTGGGACCTCCAAAAGTTGCTAAAGTACAAAAGAGTGGCTGAGAATGAAAACTGCTGTATGCTTTCTTTTGCTGTCTTGTCTGGAGAGCTCCCAGACCCTACATAAATGCAAGCGAGGTTGCTTTTTGTTATGTTGTTTAAAAAGATATTTGAGAGCTCTGGTATTCACGGGTAGCCTTTCGGTGGAAGCAGAACACTTGGAGCAGCAGTAAAATCCCAGGACTGTTGAAAGGGATGGAAATGGCACATTTTTTGGCCCCTGGTTTTTGATGCACTTGAAATCCTGGATCACTCTGTGGATCAGTAGTCTCCCTACTCGAGGGTCGCCTTCGTCTCAGTTGCCTCTTCCTTTCTCCTTGGTCATAATCATAATCATAATCATAATCATAATCATAAGCTAGTTTGAGGAGCCAGTTCTCATGAGCAACCAGTCAGTCACACCAGTGGATTCCCCAGTGCACCATCACCAGAGAGAGACAGAGAGACACACACAGTGAGAGGGGCAGAAACTATTTAAACTATTTGTGACAAACGGCCTCATGTTTTTTTTTGTGTGTGTGTGTGTGTTGATGAATAAAATCACATTAAATCGTGAAGTGTGACAGTAAAATGACAGCATCATTTCGGTGCCAAACAAAACATTGACTGCGGGTTAGATTCAAAACACAGAGCTATGTCCCTCTCTGGGAATAAAGCGACTGGAGATGTCACTCAATAACATCGAAGGCTTCTGCAGCAAAGTGAAATGCAGGTTCCCCTGGTCTTTGGGGAGATATTAAATGATTTGAAATGACAACGATCAGTGAATGCAATTGTCACGACGACTGAAGACTATTTTGTGTCTGATGCATTGGGGCATTGGGTGGGAGAAGACATGAACAGTCATGGATTTCACCCCCGACGTTTGTGAGCATAAACAACTGAACCTCCTCCACAATCGCACCAAGTTTCTCAACACAGTCCACTCTCATTTTTTTTTGAAAAAAGTTGAATATTACTCATAAATTACGAGCCGCTGTGTTGTGGTTTTAATGCAACAGCAAAACGTGAGGTTAAACAATTTAAACAGGTCGGGATGACTGTGCAAAGTGTGTGTATATATATATATACCTGAAGAGTGAGAGACTCACCTGTGCAATGCCCTGACCATTGGGGTGGATGAGGACCTGCCACTTGCAGAGCTTTACCTTCTTGTCAGTTTCTGGCTCATGTTCCCACTTTGCAATGCAAGTCAGGCAGAGAGGGATAGAGAGAGAGAGAGAGGGGGAGAGAGAGAGAGAGAGAGCAGCCCTGAACCTGACCGATCTGCAATTCATCTGCAATTCACTCAAATTCCTACTGTCACTTTCTTCTGACACCTGTAACGCACTGCAAAGCCCTGCAGTCACCCCCAGAGGTTGAGCGCACACCCTCCTTTCGCTGATAAAGCGTCGACGAGAGAGGAAACATCTTTATTTATTTGCGTGGCTTTCATCCAAGAGGTTTAGGAACAAGGCTTATAGGTTTATATTTGGGTAACACAATGCATAAATCATCTTTGCATTTGATACGTGAAATGCTTCCACTGCTAAAGGTTATTTTGTTTTGTTCATTTATTTTTCTTCCACTGCCAGGATTTGATATTGTTGCATCTTTCTTTCTCTGCTAATGTTTGTGGTTGGACTCAAGTAAGCAAGACTAGGCTTTCACTGTGATATTTTTTGTAGCATTGCTGAAATATGCACCATGTGTACACTGTGTATAGAATAATAAATATGCTCAACGGTATCGATATTGTGGGAGACTGAGATACACTGAATAACCTACAGGAACAAAGTTCCAATATCAAAATCTTTTTAACTGTGAGCTCTATTATCTTGGCAAACACCTACCACAAAATACACAGTTAAGCCACTTTACTGTATATCTGGTGAAGCGCTTTTATATATATACACAAGTTGTTATTATTATTATTATTATTATTATTATTATTATCTGGAGCAGGCACAGGAACCTGAAGGAGTTGGGGACTTTGATTTGGGGGCAGATGCTGCCTATGCTTTAACTATATAAAAAAAATCATTAGTCTACCCATCATCAGCTATTAAGATATAATATTGCACACTTAATATTTCCTAGAGCTACAGTACAGTCAGCCACAGACTCTAGTCACTGCTTGCAGAGAATCCTAGCAAGACTAATGTCATGGTGAATAGCACATGTGCATTTGGGAATGATGAATATTCAAATCAACAATGACAATAAATTATTTTGATCAGACCTGGAATCATATTTCTCTGGAATTCATCTGTAATAGTGAGCTCTTACTAATTTAATCTATGTAGGAGGCCACAATTGTTGTTCTGAGTTACTTATGCATAGAGAGACAGACACAGATTAAATGTTACAATGAGTATGTCCCTTCATTCAAAACCAAATATTGGCAAAATACATTGGCACACTTCACACGTCACACACGATCAAATAGATGCATTAAATGATCGGTATGGAATTATCCTGTGTGTCAGCCTGGCTCAGTAGTAGCACACTTGCCTCTAAGTCAGAAGATTGTGGATTCACACTCCAAGGCAGTGCTGGAGGTATGTTTCTTTGTCGGAGGTGCTGTCCTTCAGAGGAGAGGTTAAACTGAGGTTGTATCTCCCTGTTTTGGTGGGTGTTAAAGATCCCATGCCACTATTCAAAAAGAGTGGGGAGTTTCTCCTGGTGTCCTGGCCAACAATTCTCCAAATACATTTGGTCGCTGTTTGTGAGACGTGGTTGTGCAAAAATTGACTGCCGCACTTTGCTTGCAAAATACACTGTCAATCCACTTTGCAGTATATCATATGAAGCAATTTGAGACATCACTACACTGTGAGACATCACTACACTTGAAATCTTGATTTCAAGATCCTCATCCTCACCTACAAGGCCATTCACGGCCTTGCTCCCTCCTACCTCTCCAACCTACTATCCCCCTACCTACCTGCCCGTACCCTCCGTTCCTCTGGCTCCGGTCTGCTCCACGTCCCCCGCCCCAATCGCACTACCATCGGTGTTCGGGCTTTCAGCCTCTCAGCCCCCAGGCTCTGGAACTCTATCCCCCAGTGCCTTCGCCTTGCTTCCTCCCTCTCCTCCTTCAAGGCCGGTCTCAAACCTTTCTCTTTGACCGAGCCTTCAGCTCCCCTCTCGACTCTCTTCCCCCTCCTCGCTCCCTCCCTTCCCTCCCCTCACCCTGACCATTTCCCCCTGCTCAGGTCATGACCCAACTGTGCAGCGCCTTGGGACGTCCTCCTGACGTGAAAGGCGCTTTATAAATGGAATCTTGTTGTGGCTGTTGTTGTTGTGATATGGCACTGTATCAAATGCAAGGATTATTATTATGTCACATTGGAGCCAGTTCAGCTCTTACGACATCCCGCTCTACTTACCTCCCTGCAAGAATAGACACTAATTGGTCATTTGTTATCCGACAAGCCCAAGTTTGAGTCCTCACTTGATGGATGGTAGGTACCAGAAACTTCCTGCGAGCTTCCTCTGAATCACACATGCTACCAGTACATCTTGTATCTGTCTTTATATACTGATAAAACGACAATGTCTGCGCTTCAAGAAGGATCTCAATAACCAATTGATGTAGAGACATGATTTATACCTCATTGGAAAGGTCTTGCAACTGGAAGTGTCGTGGGCATATTTGTTTTCAGGTACCTCCTATCGTTCATGAGTTATTTTCAGTTTTGTGTTATTTGCTGCAGTTACACCTGGTGGCCGCCGAGTCAAAGTGGCGCTGTGGCATCGTGCATCAGAGAGCATGTACTTATGTACACACAAACTGCAGTTACACCTGGTGGCCACGCCAGCTGACCGTGGCGCTGTGGCATCCTGGGTCACAGAGCACGCATTGTAGCCAAGCAGTGGGAACAAAGTAAAGAACACAGACAAAGCTAAGCCGCGGCAACAACAAAATAATTACATAAGAACATAAGAATTAGGAGCAGCAGTAGGCCATTCGGCCCCTCGAGCCTGTCCCGCCATTCGATAAGATCATGGCTGATCTTCAGACCTAACTCTAATTACCTGCCCTGTCCCCATATCCCCTAATCCCTCTATTTTTAAAGATGCTCAAGGAATGAGTATCTACAGCCTTCTGGGGTAGTGAATTCCATAAATTCACTACCCTCTGAGTGAAGACATGTTTCCTCAACTCTGTTCTCAAAGGCTGACCCTTAATTTTAAGACTGTGACCCCTGGTTATAGATTCTCCTACCAGGGGAAACAGACCCTCAGTGTCTACTTTATCAGCCCTTTAAGAATCTTATATGTTTCAATAAGATCTCCCTTAATTCTTCTGTACTCTAGAGAATACAGCCCTAGTTTATTCAGCCTATCCTCATAGGTCAGACCCCACATCCCAGGAACTAACCGAGTGAATCTAAGCTGCACCCCCTCCAGGGCAAGTATGTCCTTTTTTAAATAAGGAGACCAAAACAGCACACAATACTCTAGGTACAGTCTCACCAAGGCCCTATACAGTTGCAGCAAGACTTCCCTACTCTTATACACTAAACCTTTTGCAATGAACTCTAACAGGAGTCCTGTAGCTCAGTGGTTAGAGCACTCGCTTTGCAAACGAGAGACCTGAGTTCAATTCCAGGCAGAGGGCGAAACCTTGGGCAAGTTTCCTTACTCCACACACCTAATAATAATCCCTCCAAAAAACAAAACAATAATAAATTGGTCATTTTTAATCTATGACTGTTTGTGGGATATTGCTGTGTGCAATTGGCTGCCGTGTTCGCCCACAAATATACAGTCAATTCACTTTACAGTATATTCTGTGAAGCGCTTTGAGACATCTAGAAGACGTGAAAAGCGCTATATCAAATGCAAGGATTATTATTTATTATAACATGCCATTCGCCTTCTTAGTTGCTTGCTGCACCTGCAAACTAACTTTTTGAAACTGGTGTACAAATCCCAAATCCCTCTAAACACTAACTCTATCTAATCTCTTCCCCCTCTAGAAAATAATCTGTTTTTCTATTTTTTCTACCTAGGTGAATAACTTCACACTTCCCCACATTAAATTCCATCTACCACCTACTCGCCCACTCCCCTAGCCTATCTATATCTCGTTGTAATCTTTTTGCATCATCCTCAGAGCTTACTCTCCCACCTAGTTTAAGTGTCATCTGCGAATTTAGATATGTTACATTCAATGTCCTCGTCTAGATCATTGATGTAAATTGTAAATAGCTGAGGCCCAAGCACTGATCCTTGTGGCACTCCACTAGTCACATCCTACCAATTCGAGAAAGACCCATTTTTCCCTACTCTCTGTTTTCTACCCGTTAGCCACTCTTCAATCCATGCTAATATGTTCCCATTAATCCCGTGGGCCTTAACCTTGTGCAATAGCCTTTTGTGTGACACTTTGTCAAATGCCTTTTTAAAATCTAAATATACTATATCTACTGGTTCCCCCCTATCTAACCAGCTAGATACATCTTCAAAAAACTCTAAAAGATTAGTTAAGCATGACTTCCCTTTTGTAAAGCCATGTTGACTCTGCTTAATCTTGTTATAGTCTTCCAGGAATCCCATACCACCATATTTAATTAAGGACTCAAGAATTTTCCCTACCACTGATGTCAGACTAACTGGTCTATAGTTCTCCATCTTTTCTCTCCCACCCTTCTTAAATGGTGGTGTTACGTTTGCAATCTTACATTTTAAAATTAAATTTTGAAAGTGCCGAGTCCTCCGACTGAGTTGTCCCAAAAGGAGACCTCCCACAGGAGTTCTCCCAGATAAATATAGATAAAGACAAAATGTCTGTCTGTGTGTCAATCTACATTCCATATTGGATCCTTTGGTTGCAAGCGAAGCTGCAAAGGGTACAGGTGGTATGAAATATATTCCTTGTGAAAGTAGATTAAATTTATGTTTTAATTTCCACCCAATTTAAAGGTTTAAATTTGTACTATTGCATATTGCCTCATACTTGGAACCTTGGAAGCACCACTTAATCAAAAAAATTGATTAATTCAAATTAAACTATTAATGGGAACTTAATCCTATTTAATACGATATCACATAAAAACTGTCGACAAGCATCTTGGCTTCAAGGTTTACTGAGGCAACCTGACAAATTGCTGT